GAGGCAGAAACTCATGCAGTAATATGCGCCGGCAAATCTTCTTTACCCAAGGATTGCGATAACATCAAGTTACCCCGATTTCTCAAATTCATCGTCTTGCACACTTTATAACGGTTCCCAATGAACAACGTTAAACCTATGGTTAGTTTAAGTTATGCAGCATTACTTGGTTCCAAAGTTCGTCCCCTTGAAGATTTAAGCTATTGAAATTCACACCCATTTTGACAGATTCAAAAATGCTATGAATCGTTCTAAATGAACATTCGATAGATCAGATAGATTGTTGAAGTCGATTCTAGAGTTTCAGAGCAGGACAGTTGCAGAGAATATTGACTACCGTCTCATCTCTATAATCATTCTGACAACTTCTGCGAATGACATTATATGAAATACCAATGCGTCTAGCATGGTTACCAAAATTGCAGGGACAAGTAATAACCGATATCAGATTATGCAGTTGCAGTCTATGTAGATGAAGAAAATAGGTAGTTCTATGTGGGTCCATATAAGACTACAAAGCTTTAGCGATCGTGCAAGTGTAACCACTCGACTAAGCGTCCTGAACATTGGAATTACAGATGTCTATTGCAGGTAGTGGAACTTAACAGAATGGATCAGTTCAAGTTCACTTCGCATGGTTCCAACTATTGTCAATGTCCTTTGAACAATCTTATGTCTTGCCATCTCATTGAGAGACGTCCGGCATTCATGGACAAGTCTAGATGTGGAGAACACACCAATATAGGATTTAATAGCAGCTTGGCTATCGGTATAAATTCTGATATTTATGCTAGAAATCGATTCGGTATATAAATATAAATATAAAGTTTCTATAGGGAATGTTATAGTCGGTCTAAACCAAATATTCATCCAAACATATTTTGTATAAGCTAATCTTTGATGATTTGTTTAAAACTTAAGGAATATGAAAAAATGTCAAAATATTAAGTCTTACAAAATCCAATATTTATATAAGAAAACCACAAGAGATTTTTTAAGAAATGTTATTGAAATATTGTTTCTTGAAAAAAGTCCTTGTAGTGTTTTATTATATTTTATATTTGGGTTACTTAACTTGACATTATTGAAACTGTTTCATAGCATGAGAGGAAAAAAACAAAATGAAAAAGTAAATTTTACAAATTTAACACATTTTTATTAAACCATGTAGAAGTTATTAAAAAAGTAGAACTAGTGCCGTGACTGGTTCCTGGGGTATAGAGATTTGCTTTGCGTTTATAACTTTAATAAGCCGGCGTCTCATTTTTGGACATTATATAAAAATTAAATCTTTGTTTTAACATTTCAAGTAAATTGTATAGATTTTGATTTAAAATATTTATAACAATCTATTGGAATTTACTTTTTCCTTTTTTAATAAATAAAAATATTAATAAATTATGTTATTTTGTTGCCAATATATTTTCTCTTGTCAATTCTTTATTATACTCGTTATACATTAACTTGAAGTACATGTTAAAACATGTACAAATCAACATCCAAAAAAAAAATTCTCAGAAAATTAAATCATACAAGAAATCTTTATACGAAAAGCATGTTCTTTTAGCTAAGAATACAAAAAGAAAATGAAAACCTAATGTAAAGGAAAAGCGTAAAATTTTCCTACATTTGCTCGTTTCAAAACTATTCAAAAAAAGAAAGAAATAGTAAAAAATTCCACCACTGTTAGTAGTGTAAAGCGGAACCAAAAAAGAGACAAATATTTATGTGTTAGCTGCTTTTTAATTTAGCAATCCAATATGTAAAACGCATTTTAATTGTCAACAATTGCAGCACTCAGAGGAAACAATTTCAATAATGTCAAGTTGAGAAACCCAAATATAAAATACAATAAAACAATATGACAAGGACTTTTTCAAGAATCAATATTTAAATAACATTCCTAAAAATCGTTTAGCTTAGTATAGGGACCCTCCACTGAATGCCTGAAAGGTTACTATTTACCACCTCCTAGGACATCACCATGCTCTATCTTTATATAGTGATAGATTCAGTCCCCTTTCCTCCCATAGAACCAATTACAATAGTAGTTTTGCAACAGTTGCCTTCCCAAAATTGCTAGTACTAAGATCCACCAACTTCCCAAACGCTTAAGGAACCATAAAGTTTCACAACCCGAGATCTCATGGTTTTCAGAACTTTATGTCATTTGAAGTCATTAACCCCTTTGGAATATTTGCGATTGATATTTAGTGAGTCGATGTCTAATAGGATGGATACCTGGATGTAGTCGTGAAAGCTTCCGAAGTTTATTATGATATTTTGAACAAGAACATACAGCATTAGAATCTTGAAATTGGGTTTTGACTGTCTGCTAGGATTGTTGGTTTCTTTCATCCACAGGGTAAACTTAAAACGGCTAATCGCCACCGCTAAGTTCTACAATTCAGGTGACATTTTATATAAGCAAATAACTAATCGGACCAAGTACAATGAAGGAAGGAAAATTCAATGGTATCACTTGTATAAGATACCTTTCATCCATCACCATTCAACTCTGCACACGTCTCATTTATCCGACACACTCATAAGAGAACAACATACGACAGACTCACTCTAGGTATACGGGAGAATGAGTTCCGTACAAGATGAATGTAGCATCTTGTATCATATACAACTAACACCAACACTTGGTCCCACAGACACTCCTATGTGGTGTATCTGTTGTCATTCGGCAACAGCACAGAACTTATCCCGATTTCAGCGTACATCAGTCTTTTAACCGCAACTTTGGGTTTAAACCTTAACCAATACGACGATCCCGAAGAAACCTCAACCAACTGATCACCTAGGACAAGTCCTGCGGGCAACTGACCACCAGTAGTACCATATTATGTAGTTCTCTGGTTCGACCCCATGTCAAATCATTCCAAGGAAAGTCCGAGGAATGAATTGACATCACCAGTTTATAGTCCCGGCAGACTAGAGGTACTGGTAGCACCTCTTTACCCCGGGATTGCAATACACCAAGATGAGGGTCTTTCATCAAGGAAACAAGCCCTGGGGGGGAGCTGTCTGACTGACAGTAAGCTGGTAGTCTCATAAAAATTTCCCGCGTCCGAGGTCTTTCATCAAGGGTCTTTCATCGAGGAAACATGCCCTGGGGGGAGCTGTCTGACTGACAGTAAGCTGGTATTCTCATAAAAATTTCCCGCGTTCGAGGACTTGCCAGATTCCGATGCAATATTCTCGCCATTTAGTCGAGATCGCTAAGGATATTGGAGCCGATAAATTGCGAATAGGACGATCAATATCCTAACATGTCGTTAAAATCGTCTCATTATTCATGACTCGGAAAGATCTTTAAGAACCCTGTAGCATATGTTGTAATAATCGTCTCTTTATAAGGAAGATCATACTGGGGAAGGGCCAGGGGCCTGTTTCTGAACTTTTTATGAAGATAATTCGGCCGAAATCTTAAACATCATCCCTGGTACAGAAAAAAGGGAAACCAAAGATTGTGAAGCAGATAACCTTTTGGAAGAAACCTTTAAGGACCTTGTTACTATTTTGAACCAGTTGGTTAATTTTCAGGCTCCTTATTTTCCTGTTCCAAGAGGTGACAAAGATTTTGAAACAGATAACTTGAATAAAGTTCCTAGAGGAGAGTCTGTTATGATAGCCAGATATAGGTAGATTTTGGCAATTATGTTATGTTTTGAATGATAAGTATGAAAGAGTATTGGATAAAGTAAGTTCTTCGCTTATATTTTAGGACATTGTGCCTCTTTTTGATAATTTTTTGGACACAACTCGACCGATAATTAAATTAAAAGCATTCGTTACTTCTTAGTATAAGAAGGAAAACGAAAGGATTTTGAAGCAGATCACTTTCTCGGAAGCAGATTATTTCTTTATAGCCCTTTTAATATTTATGACTTTTTGGTGAATATAGATCGCGTAAAGAAGAAAGTAAAGGAGATTGTCAAATACTATCAACAAAAGCAGATAACTCAAATAAGTGGTATGGAAAAGGAAGAAGGTATGTTATGACATTGATATATATGCCAGATTGAGATATTGAGACCTGTGTGGAGGATGCAGGAAGTTTGGCATGATAAGTATTAAAGAGTTCAGATTACTGGACTCTCAACTCAACAAAAACATATGGGTGATATCGTTACTGTAGTTAATTATCTACTGTAGTAGATAATTGTAGTTACTGATGTCATTGAGCTAAAATAATGAGCTGTGTCCAACGACTTCATTAAATCCTGGGCAGCAACAATGTGGCGTCGACACCCTAACAACTCTCTCGTCATCAGATATTTATCTGTTTAAACACTGATATTATGCAATGACATTCCCTGAAGTCATGTGGCTAATGGTAAGTGCTACTTCAGGGATGGTAGGAGTTGGTGATAAAAAGGATTCAAAGAGATAATCTGGGTAACTTTCTATGCGACTTTAATCACCAATTGGTCAACCAAAACATCCAGCAGTTGACAATAACTTTGTCAACTAAAGTTTAATTTTTTGCTGGGATAACTTAAAATGAACTTAAAGAAAAACTAAATTATTGCCAAAAAAACCAAAGGATATATGTATGAGCATGTGATAAAATTTAAAAATACAAGGACATCAAACATGAACAAACTTAAAGTAAACACTAGAAAAGCTTCTTTTAAAAATAAAACTCTAAAATTTCTAATTTTAAATTTCTTTATATATATAATATGTATTTTTCCCTTGAAAATGTTAAATGTTTAAAAAATATATATATATTTTCTAATAGTATTTCATAATGCCTGTTATATATGTGTGTGTATGTATCTGTATCCCTTTTAAAACTGTTTATGTATTTGACAGGATATTGTTAAAAAAAATGTTTCCCTCTTTTTCAAATATAAAAGCAAAAATTATTTTGACTAGAAATAATATTATTTGTTAAAAAATGTGCTCCTATTATAAAAAAAGTATTTTTTTATGTTTTTTTTTTTCCTCTAACCAACTCTTCATTAGTGGGGTGAACAGCGCAATTGTACACGTGAAGAAATGATCTCATTTTATGATTCAGAGGGTAATGTACCCTTACATTCAGCTGTTCATGGTGGCGATATTAAAGCTGTGGAATTGTGTCTTAAATCTGGAGCAAAAATCTCAAAGCAACAGCATGATTTGTCAACACCCGTACATCTGGCATGTGCACAGGTGAGTGATGTGTGTCTTTACTGGTATTTTTATTTGTTATTTTATCATTATTGTCATTTTATTTAGCTTTAAATTGTTTAACTATTTATATAATAAAATTTTGGAAAAAAAAAAACATCAAGAACCCATATTAAATTCAGGGAAATAAATACAAAGATATGTATTTGTAAGAGTGTATAGGTGTTTTTATGTAAATTATAACATGTATTATCCTGGAGAAAGACATTCTTTTGTTTTCTTTACTTATTTTGTTGAAAATTTACATAAGGGTATGGTTACAATGAAATTTAATATTTACTTAATCAAATTCTTAGAATTTACATACATAAATACATATGTATGTATGTATGTGTATTAACCGATTGTTAACAAGGATATACATAAATTTAAATTTAGGACAAATATTAGGCTGTTACACCTACCACTTAAAGATGTTAAGTGTTAGAAAATTATATCGGAACAATGATTTTCAATTTGATATTATAAATATTGTTACAACATTTTCAACCTTTAAGGACCCTTTGTTTATGCCCAGTTTAGCTGGTTACATACCGATTTCAGATAATCATAGAATATTTAGGAATAATTACCTCACTGGTCCCTACTTGGAAAGGCTATGATTGTTTCGCTCAGCAGTTTGATGGGGACAGTTGTTGAGATAGGAGTGATCGGGAGTTTTGTATTATAACTACTGGAAAGTGTTAGGAAATTGGGTTTCACAGGGCTTCGCTCTAAGACAATCGTCCTGAAGTTATTGGTTTTTGCCTTTTCTGTAATTGTCTCGGTTCTGTTGCTGTCAGTGTTAGGGTAATGCGATAGCTATTAGTCTTTTGACTAATCTATGGAATAATCTATGGAATAGCCTATTGACTAGTCGATGGACTTGTCTATGGAATTGTCGATAGACTAATCTATAGTCTGTTGACCTGTCGATGGACTAGTCTATTGAGTAAGCTATGGACTAGTCTAATGATTAGTCTATTGACTAGTCTATGAAGTAGTCTGTAGAGTAGTCTATGGACTTGTCTATTGACTAGTCTAGTCTATTGTCTTGTCGATGGACTAGTCTATTGAGTAAGCTATGGACAAATTTATAGACTAGTCTATGGAATAGTCTATCGACTAGTCTATGGAGTAGCCTGCCGAGTAGTCTATGGTCTAGCCTATTGACTAGTCTATAAAGTACTTTATGGACCAGTCTATAGACTAATCTATAGACTAGTATATTGAAAAGTCGATGGAATAATCTTTGGAATTGTCGATAGACTAACCTATAGTCTATTGACTTGTCGATGGACTAGTCTATTGAGTAAGTTATGGACAAGTCTAATGATTATTCTATTGACTAGTCTGTGGAGTAGTCTATGGACTTGCCTATTGACTAGTCTATAGTCTATTGACTTGTTGATGGACTAGCCTAGACTAGACTAGACTAGAATAAGCTATGGACTAGTCTAATGATTAGTCTATGGAGTAGTCTTTGGACTTGCCTATTGACTAGTCTATAGTCTATTGACTTGTCGATGGACTAGTCTATTGAGTAAACTATGGACTAATTTATAGACAAGTCTATGGAATAGTCTATTGACTAGTCTATGGAATAGTCTATTGACTAGTCTATGGAGTAGCCTGCGGAGTAGTCTATGGACTAGCCTATTGACTAGTATATAAAGTATATTAAAAAGTCGATGGACTAGACTATTGACTAGTCTATAGACTATTTTATGGACTAGTCTATTGACAAGTCTATGGAATTGTCTATTGCTAAGTCTATTTACTAGTCTATGGACTCGGCTTTTGTCTACTCTATGGACTACTTTATGGAATAGCCTATATATATAGGCTGGGGACTATTTTATACATTATTGCGCTGAAAATGCACTTCACTGTTGGCACACTTGTGCTGAATGTAAGGGTAGTCCAATAGTATCAAGAAGAGAATCTTGAATCGCTGATTTCTTTTAAAATAGAAATCAGCAACTTATTAGGCCAATATAGTAGCCATTGGATTGGCTACTATAACATTTGGTAAATGTCTGTTAATGATCGAAAAGGTCTGTGAAACTATTTTCCACGAAGAACTTTAACACCCATTCGAACATTTGGGGAACAAATAGGCGGACTTCCATTAGAGTTGCTTTGAACCTCCCTTGTGAATCAAATACAAAAATTCGTATATCTAAGAACTATTAGAGCTAGAGCCATCAAATTTTGCACAAAGAACTTTAACATCCATTTAAACATTTTGGGAAAACATCCATTTGAGAACATCCAATTAAACATTTGGGGGAACAAATAGGCGGACTTCCATTAGGGGTTGGACCTTTGAACCTCCCTTGTGAATCAAATACAAAAATTCGTATATCTAAGAAACTATTAGAGCTAGAGCCATCAAATTTTGCACAAAGGACTTTAACATCCATCTGAACATTTTCATTAGGGGGGATTGAAACCTCTCTTATGAATTGTATACAAAAATTCGTATATCTGAGAAACCTTTAGACCTAAAATCAAATTTTGCACGAAAACTCTGACATCTATGGATAATAAATGCTCACATAGATTAATTTAATACAAAAATTCGTAAATCTAGGAAACTGTCACAGCTAGAATCCTCAAATTTCGCATGAAGAACTATGACATTCATGTGAACATTTGAGAGAAAATGGGCGGGCTTTACTTTTTCATATATCTGGAAAACTATTAGATTATTCAAATTATTCATAGGTTACAAATTAGCGTTTGGAAAAATTGTCAAATTTATAATAGTTGGCGTGGAATCTCCCACGTAAATACAAAAAATCGTATATTGTTTTTTGGATAGTAAAGCCCACTGGGTATAGCTAATATTTTTATAAAAAATACAAATATTTTAACATACTTTATTTGACCTTTGACCCTAAAAAATCTTCTAAACATATTACTTGGTTATATGGCAGATTCTGATAGCAACCTCGTCAAAAACAAAACCATGTTGTAAGTATTTCTTTCTGCATGGGTATCTAGACTCTAGATTCTCCTAATTTGTATGTATGTATATTCTAACACTCATAAACAAACGAATACAGACATTTGTCTTTCGTTTTTATTAAGAATCAATATGCATGAGTGATTCTGTACAGGAAGACATGAATGTTTGTAAATAATTTATAGGATGTTTAAGGATAATGTAAACATTAACATGCTATAAACTAAATTCAGCAGTTTTAAAGGAGTCTTAGCATACTTTTTCGATAATATTTATATTGACCACTAGTACGGGAACTACTCCCGGAACTATAGAGTGCCAAATTCCAAGTTGGCTACGATGCAACCATGACCATAGCTAAATAGAACTCCTTTAAAGGGAATCCAAAATTCAACATACACCAAATTTAGGAGCAATTCTTTCCTGGAAAAGAGCATCTCTCATTTCTGAATTAACAGTTTCACAGTGCTCATACTAGAAAAGATCACAAGTACAGCAACTACTCCCCGAATTGCAGAGTACTTTATATACTAGCAAAAACACATAGTTACTCTATATAAACTAATCAGTTTTATTGTCAAGGAAAATGGATGACATTTTTGTTGAATGACTGCACAGTTGAATTTAAACACAATCGTAAATATGCAGACGTCTTGCGATAACTTACACCTACACATACGATACACGCAGCCATAAACAAATATATGCTTGAACATGCACATGAATTCTTTATAGCAGTGATGGGCAACACAAATTTAAGATTAAGTGTATTGAAGACCTTACAATTGTAAAATTTCTTTCGTTTTGCCTTAATTCTCAAGATGTAGCTTTGGGAGTAAGTGTGTAAATGACTTGCAAGAAGTTTTTTGCTTTCCCTTCCCATGTCTGCTTTCTAGAGAGACAAATATTTATCACTCTTGTTAACATCTTTTTGCATACATGCATTTTCCTTTCTGGTTTATTAAGCATGAATATTTCAAAATATATGTAATTGCAATTAAGAAATAACCGACAAAGTTTACGTAGTCCATTTACCACATTGTTGGCTTTCATAATCCAATCTCTATGGCAAAGTAATTAAGCACATTTTTTAGGTTAAAGTTCAGAATTATTTTACAATCGTTTAAAACACACACACTTTAATTCCTTTAGGGTTTTTATTGAGATCAAAAAATAGTTGTTAAAAACTAACTTGTCCAACAGATGGCAAACTGAAAAGTACTTTCAAAATCCTGCAACAAATTCAAGCAGTGGTTCCCATAGTATTTAGCTTTATATATATGTATATGTTTTGATAGAAGAATCTATATTACATCAGATCTGAAGAAGTACTCCTAGGCCACTATCCGGCCTATTGTGTGCTTCTTTACCAAAGACTGACAGAATAGAACACTACGAACTAGTATACAGGAGACACCCTAGGCAATTAGCATGGAGTTGTCTCGCTTGATTCGAGAATTAGTTCCATTAAGGTATCTATGTTTCCATGGCAGGTTACGTAACAAACCAGAAATGAAGAAGACTATCTTTCAAAACAGGGTACCAAGTTAGTACCCTAAACAGTAAAGAGGAGAGAGAAAATCTTTGTTCCCCTATAAATCCCAGTCAAGGAAGTGACTTATTCCCTTGACAAAACCTAGTAGACTGCAAGGGTCAAGACCCGCAATATCCCCATTTCGTCATGGAACCTGTTAGATAACCATTTTAGCCTGGTATATTTCTGTCCCACTTTCTGACAAAGGCCCTAACAGCAATTCGCCGTTAGCATCCCTATCAGAATCGTTAACTACGTTTATCCAGTCCTATGAATACTTTTGTAGCCCCCATTTCAATGCCAATGCCTTTTCAATCCAATCTACTATTCCAGGACTGAATTATTATGTCACATATTCTTTCGAATGTCAGCCTATAATAGTAGCAAACACGTAGTTTTACCATCCTTCCTCTGTCATCTATATCAAGGATCGAACCTAATTTAGACAATTCGTCTGCAACCTCATTACCATTCACATTGCAGTGAATGCCCTTAGGGCAGAAATGCCCTAAGGGCATTTCTACAATCTACAACCAGGCGCGAATGTACATTGTGACAAGCCAATGCTGTAAGAGCAGCTTGACTATCAACATAAATTGTCACAACTGAGCCCGAATCGATATGATTTCGTATCAGTTCCGTCGCTTTTTAGATAGGACTGCATTCGTCACGTAGTGTGAAAGAACGTTTCATTTTGATATCAGAGATACAGACACTGGCACCAGTGCCGGTATCCATCTTGGACCCATCAATGAAAACTGCACAACCACCAAACAGTCTATCGGAACCAGACAATGCAACCATAAGTTAGAATAGGCCTGACATCCGATGTGTAAATACAATTTCTCCAATGCCGGTATCCATATTGGACCCATCAATGAAAACTGCACAACCTCCAAACAGTCTATCGGAACCAGACAATGCAACCATATGTTAGAATATCTGGTTGCAGACCCCAATTCTTTCCTTTAGAATTCTTGCATGTGTAGTAGGCATTGAGTCCCTTTCTAATTCTTTCCTGAGTATTTTCCTTCCATGACAGCTTGCTATCAAGGAAAGTCCCTAAATACTTAGCTCCTCTAGATAAACTTAGTTCGACGCTACTGTCTACCTTTTACATTCTGGTAAATAGTACCAGCTCCGTTTTCCCAGGATTTACGCCTAGTCCAGGACACAGATAAAGAAAGTTTTCAAATGTTCACTAGTGCAACTTCTGCAGAAGCCATCAAATAGAAGATGATCATGCGCTCACACAAACCAGTGACCTGTCATTACTTCTGTCAGTAGTCTTAGTCGCACACGTTAAATTTCCTATCAGTAACAATGACCTAGGGTTATTTTAAAGTAGCCATGTAAGCCTAGCTATCGAACAGTTGGACATTGTTGGATATATGATCTGAGCAGTAACCCGGTACCCAGAAAAGCTCCAGGTTCAAATGTTGCGCAATCTCGTTCAGAGACATACGACATTCACCAAGCAATATAAATGACGTGGACAAAAATCCGATCGCTAGTTTACTGTCAGTACAAATTCGGATATTTCCTTCGTATATCCTATAGTACCTCATCCAATTTACCGCCCGTTTAACGGCTGATATACGAGCCTGGACGACGCAACATTGATTAGACAGCTTTAAGCTGGGGTAAATTCAATTTTTTTTACAAATGGCGACAGTTCTGAGGAACTTGTTGAAATGAACGAATTATTTAACTTTTCACCATCAATCTGGACTTATTTTTTCGGATCTCTTCAATATCCCATGGGATGTTACAGATATCCAGTGCGACTCCGCAGCCTTCATTTGGAAATTGATTATAGTTTCTTTGTAAGTCAATCGTTCAATTTAATCTCATTAAATCAGCTCAACTCAGGTGGTTTAAAGAAATCACACGACAGATCAAAGTTATTTATAAGTTTCCAAAGAGTTGCTCCCTGTTACTGTTACTATCAAGACACTGTTTCATAGGCAACCATATCAGAAAATTAGGTCTCATTATCAATAACTATTACAGAAGTTGACACAATGAAGAGAAGAATGAGAAAGTCTACTGTTGTTCGACAGTTACCGACAATAGATAGCATAACCTTTTTTAAGAACTTTTGCGATTACTCTAATAATCTATATTGCATGCATTCTATATATAAAAAATGTGTATATACTAATGTGCTGGAATTTACACAATTGGCCAGTGTTTATTCTATCACTACTCAGAAGATTAATGGTCGTATTGTTGCCTGGAAGAATAGACAATCAAGATTACAACAGCACAACAAGCAATATGTAGTTGAGAGTAGGTGGTATTGACCGCCTTTCTAAATGTCTGAATGCAATGTCAAATTGTGTTTAAATCCAGAAGTTACAAAACTAAAAATCAAATGCATTTTCTATAAAAAGCATGTCCAATTTAAAGGATGCCCTTTTCCCTTTGTTTGCATATTGGTTGCAAAACTGATGACTTTAGGAATTCAGTAAATGTTCGAAAATTGCAATCAAAATTACAGTCCATGCAAAAATAAAAAACTAAAAATTGTTTCTACTATTTTTCCCCCAAATTTCTTTTGCAGGGTGCCATAGAAATTGTCAAACTTATGTTTGCCATGCAACCTCAGGAGAAGAAAATCTGCTTAAGCTGTACGGATGTTCAAAAAATGACTCCTCTACATTGTGCCTCCATGTTTGATCATCCGGATATTGTTGAGTTTCTAGTGAAAGAGGGAGCCGACATTAATGCCTTAGATAAAGAACATCGCTCACCCCTTCTGTTGGCGGCCTCTCGTTCCGGCTGGAAAACCGTACATTTACTTATACGTTTGGGCGCTAATATTAGCATTAAAGATGGCTGTTCACGCAATGTCTTACATTTGGTCATAATGAATGGTGGTCGTTTGCAGGAATTTGCCGAAGAAGTTAGTAAGACTCAGTCAAAGGAACAATTGGAACAATTACTCAATGAAAAAGACAATAGCGGTTGCTCACCTCTGCACTATGCCAGCAGAGATGGTCATATACGCTCTCTAGAGAATCTTATACAGTTGGGCGCCTGTATAAATTTGAAAAATAACAATAATGAAAGTCCTTTACATTTTGCTGCTCGCTATGGACGTTATAATACTGTTAAACAATTATTGGACTCGGAGAAGGGTTCTTTTATTATCAATGAAAGTGATGGTGAAGGTTTGACGCCATTACACATAGCCTCACAACAGGGTCATACTAGAGTAGTGCAGTTATTGTTGAATCGTGGTGCCCTTTTGCATCGCGATCATAATGGTAGAAATCCTTTACAATTGGCGGCCATGTCAGGCTATACGGAGACCATAGAATTATTGCATTCCGTGCATTCACATTTATTGGATCAAGTCGATAAGGATGGGGTAAGTTCAATTCTTAACTAAGTTTGGAGTCTTTCTTGAGATAATTCCCAAATTAAGGGTATTTCAGTTACACTCCACTACTTAACTTAATGCTCTCTGTCCTTACAGAATACCGCCCTACATTTAGCCACAATGGATAATAAACCACATGCGATTTCCGTCTTACTATCAATGGGCTGTAAATTACTATATAATCACTTGGATCTTAGTGCAATTGATTATGCCATTTACTATAAATATCCTGAAGCTGCTTTAGCCATGGTTACACACGAGGAAAGAGCCAATGAAGTTATGGCCTTAAAATCTGACAAACATCCTTGTGTGACCTTGGCTCTGATTGCCGCCATGCCAAAGGTTTTTGAAGCTGTTCAGGATAAATGTATTACAAAGGCGAATTGTAAAAAAGATTCAAAAAGTTTTTATGTATGTATATACATTACGTATAAGTATGTGTGTGTGTGAGTGTGTGTTAAGAATAGAAAACAAAAACAAAATACATTATGACACACAACAAGGACCAGCTAATACAAAACACACATTCTGGTTGCAAAACATTTACTTGTACAACATACACATGACAAACCTTTAATTGGTTTTAGCAAAACCAACAAAAAAAATAAATAAAAATTGACAGTTATATTTAAACTTTCTTTTATATATTTATATATCTTCAACAACAGTGAAAGCTATTAAGATCATTTTAACAAATTTTGACAGCAACTTGATTTAAAGCCTCCTAAAAGTATGCTTAAAATTTGCAGTTAAGCTGTTGTTAAAATGTATGCTTTAGTTACTATAAGTTAAAACTTATAAAACTTATGTTATAAAGCTTTTATTGTATTTATTTTTTTTATTACTTTTAAAAATATTTTATCTTTAGCTAATAATTTTCCACTTTTTTTCCAACCACCACAACTCAATGCAAAAGTTCCAACTCTAAATTAAAATGTATTTCTAATATTCTTAAAACTTCCTTTAGATTCACTATTCATTCTCATTTCTACAATGTCCTTTTATGTTTGCCAAATTGGATGAGAAAACTGGCGAACCCATACAGCAACAACATAATATTCCCTTACCGGCCTTAAACGTAAGAATACGAAACGTCATTTGCGCGTTTACATTTTTTCCTAAAATTTCTATTTATTTCTTATTTTTTTGTTTTCATTTTATGATTCCTTTAAGTTAATTAGCTTTTTATGTTTATTGCTCGTTTAAGTTTCATTTAAGCAATTTTAATCATGGTCAAGGAAAAAGTAATTAAAATTGTTGGATATACTTATATCGGATTTTTCAGTAGGTGCATTTTGTTTTTGACATTTCTCAAATAGGTTTCTCCATTATTTCACTGCTTGAAATGTCATTAGAAGTGAGCGCTTCAAGGACGTTATCATATAATGATTTTTTCCAAAAATTTCATTTTATAGCTTTTACGTTGCGTACTCTTACGTCAGTTTCTTGGTCGACGAAATCGGATGAAAGCTTCAAATTGCGATGACTATTCGGAAAATGGAAGACACTAATGGATGATGAAACTGGACCCTTTACATCATACTTAAGTATCTGAATATAAATTTGTTACTGAATTGAACTTTACTCCTCTTGGTTTTCCAAATTATAACGCATATTACTGGCATGAGAATTATGTTGTGATGTGGAATCATATCTTCCAATACAGACAACTTACGATTGAACACAATTAGCAAACACGAAAGTCATAAAAATTCACTTTCATTTCACTATCCAATCCCAAAAGTTGGAGAGCATTTTAACTTTTAATTTCTCAGTTGCGCTATCGAAAGTTATGGAAAATATCCCAACTGAAGCAGATCAATTCGCCGCATGAAGAAGACTATATAGCTTTTAGGAGGATTGCGATATACTGAACTGATACATTCAATTGGTATCATGAAGAAGACTATAGAAGCCGATTTCATTTAAGGAAACTCGAAAGCCCTTAGAATTCTTATCGAAAGACACGGGAATTGTTGAAAAAACGACAATCTTTAGATATTTGATACATTTTCTCTGTGGAACCATTAGTTCTGCAATTTCGGATAACAGTATCTTTCACGTCCGCTGTAGAAATTTTCATATCATCCCACACACTATCCGATCTAAAAAATAGGAGAACATTCCATCTTTTAATTTCTCAGTTGCGCTATCGAAACTTGTGGAAAATATCCCAAATGGCGTAAGTCAATTCATCACACGAAGAAGACTATAAAGACTTTAATCCACTAATTTAGAAGCCGATTTCATTTTAGGAAACTCTAACGTTATAATTCTCATCGGAGAACATTCCCGTACATTCACTATGTGGAATCTTTCATATTAGTTCTGCAATTTCGAAAGTTATTCTGTTCAGATAACATCATCTTTCACGTCCGATGTGGAAATTTTCATATCATTCCACACACTTTCATATCACCATCCGATATCAAAAGTTGGAGAACATTTAAATTTTTAATTTCTCAGTTGTGCTATCGAAAGTTGTGGAAAATATCCTAAATGACGTAAATCAATTCAACGTACGAAGAAGACTATAAAGCCTTTAATCCACTAATTTAGAAGCCGATTTCATTTCAGCAAGAATTTTCTCAGAAGACCTGATTAAAAAAGGAATATTTGTGGAATCTTTCATATTAGCTCTGCAATTTCAACAGTTATTCTGTTCGGATGCTTTTAATACATGGATTTGGATGCCGATTTCATTTGAAATATAGTAAAAAACTTTTGATCCATTAATTTGACTAACAATGTTAGGATACATTGCCTTTCCAGCCGATTTTATTTGTGTCGTAGGATAAATGTCCATATTTTAGTTGTTACAATGAACGTTGTTGCGTCTGAGGGTTTACTGAAGCCGATTAAAATATAAAGCTTTTAATTCACTAATTTAGAGATATTTTAATCCGAACTCTTCAGTGAAAATAAGTAACCTTACCACCGGATATTTTCTCTAAACAGACACGGTTACTTCTCATCACCTTTCAACCGATATTTCAATTTGTTTCCCGTTATTGCTAGTTTCTTCCGGAAACGTTCTAGTGTGTAGAACTTAATTGAAAGGAATCTGATAGATCTCTTAGGTAATGCAATTACTCGGGATCTTCAGATTGTCAGAAGCATCGGTAGCAAGCATTGAAGTTGATCTGTTGAAACTTTTATTTCATTTGGACCAGAAGTTCCTGATTGCAGTTCAAAACCATGATTTGTTAAACCACATTACTTTAACAGTACATAAGAATGGATCGTATGTTAAGTCGTTATCTTGTGTTCCATGTTGACCGCAATTCAGTAAATCTTGAGCTGCGGATTGTTTTATAATACAACTGCTCTCGATCTGTAAATTTTCTAAAACAGCAAGCACTACATCAGCGAAATGCAGTCATCGAAATTCACTGAAATTATTTAGTCATATTAGTGAATTTTTGGATCGTGTAAGGTTTCTTCGTGTAAACTATAATACTTTCCAGTGATATCGGAAACATAAGCAAGTATCGTATGTTATATCGGCCATTGATTCCAACACACTTCCACCTACATTAACCGAATTAATGTGGACTTCCTACTAATTTCATTCGAAGTCTTTTAATGTTTTTAACTTGCTCGAGTTTTCCAAAAAATGGAAGTAGCTCCAGGTTTTTCAGGTAACCAAAACTACCTTTCAAGGACGATATTAGTAAAGCCAAAATTCAAAAACTGGTCAACAAATTTTTAAACCAGAGACCAAAGTATACTTTTTCATAGCATTGAGCCAAATTTCACCATCACAATCAGGTTTTCAAGATATGGTGTTCTAAACATTGAAAGAACCCCGTTTTTTACCATACACGATATCTGGAAATCCCAATGTAATAGAGAAATCGTTAATCTATACTTAACTTATACTTTGGTCTCTGAATTTGAACTATTGTCTGCATTTTTTGGTCTTTATAACGGGAATACCCAGGATGATTATAAAAAAAATCAAAATTATATTTGAATTGTGATCACGGAGAGGTTTTCATATCGAAAGAATTAACAATTTCCTTAAGCAATAATAATCCCTTTAGAAACCTAATTTTTAAACCAAACAACTTTACAAACCAATTTTCAATCTAAGGAAATAGATACTTCAAAGGAATTCTCAATAAAGTTGTCATAGTTTTATACAAACAGACACATATACATATAGGAATACATAACACACACACAGATATACTAAAAAATGTACACACACATATACTTTTACTATACATATAACTCACACAAGTAGCATATGATATTTTTAACATAAAATACATGACAACAACTTAGTACAACATGATGATAATATTTAAAAAAAAATCTAAAATCCTTAACTACATCATTCTACTTTATACTTAGATAAAATATTCATTTTATCCACTACAACTATCGCCCGAACAACTTGAAGCAAAACGCATACAAAACAATGATCCAACATGGCGGGAACCACCATTGGCTGTGGTTAATGTGAGTTCAAAAAATAAAATTTAAAACCAAAGAAAAGTGTTGTTTTATAAGAAGATAAACGTTAAATATTTTAATGTATTAAAATTGAAATAAAAAACAAGTGTCTCATTGCTACTGTCTGTCCCTCCATTATCCCATCATAATTTAATTTTTTTTTTTTTTTTTTGTTACGTAATGAAAATTCCTTCAGTGATGTCTTGACCCTCGTTTGTAATTTTGTTATGTTTCCTTCTAGCTTTTGTCATTTTAGTTGTGTATGTAAATATGTATGTATGTGTGAGTTTTTTTTAATTCTGTTTGTATGTGTGTATTTGAATGTTGAAGTGTCAGTTTGATATCCTCTTTTAATTGTCAAGAAGAGTTTATCATTTGTTTTTATTTTATCATTTTAATGTTTTTTTCTCTTGTTCTTTCGTTTGTATGATGTCCGCATTAAATTTATTTATGTATTTTAGTTTTTGTTTAAATTATAGTTCTTTTTAGTTGTGTTTATAATTAAAAATGTTAATTTTTATTTGTAAAATATTATAGAAATAACTCTAGTTTAAATTGGGATCTGAAACAGTGGACTTAATTTGGTTAAATTAAACATGCCAATCTTTCTGTAGATTCGAAAGATTACTTCTCTCTTTTATTCAGGAGAAGAGGACGAATAGCTCCTCTTGTTATGTTTATTCAATTGCTCTTAAGAAAGAAGATTAAATGCCGATTCACACGAGGAAACTTTTCTTGAGAAACTGTTTCTTAATTCCCCTTTAAAGTTTCCCTAATGTCTACATAGAGAAATTTTTGTTTCAACAACTACGTATTAATTGCACTGATTTGTTTTTGTACGAATGTATTTTAAGTACAAGAAACTACGCACCGCTAGAGAGATGATTGATATTTCTTTCTCTCACATACAAAATCAAAAGTTTCCCTGTGTAAACCGACACTAATGAACCATTAGCAAAGGAGGATGAATGTTCCATCAAATCCGAAGTGCACTCCCAATGGCAATGGTAATTGCCTAAGGTGGTAATTGAGCCCACAACCTCCGGTCTATACTACTAGAAAACTAACCACTAACCTACTGGAAGACAAATGTCTTTTAAAATGTTATCATTAAAAAAAAAGATCGCCAGCTAATTTGTAGTGATCTGACACTATCTGGACAACTATTGATTCACCTGAGTTAATGTTCTCAGTACGTTTACTAGACAAAGCAGGTGTTTTGTAATGGGTTGTAAGTCGATCACATGATATTCACTTCAATTAAACACATGGATTGTGCAAGATCGGTGAGTTTATCACGAATCAAAGGTTTCCAATTAGATAGTGGTATGCCGGCAAAAGTATCGGTATCTTCTCATGCTACTCCAGTTCTTTCCACAAAGGAGTCTACAATAGATCTCTAGCTAAGTCACTATCTGTACAACTATTGATTTAACTTTTTTCTCCGGAATTGGACTATGCGATTGACAATGATTCGGTCATTAAATGAATTGTTGATTCTGAAATTAGTTACGACACTGGATCTAGTAGGACCTCAATATTTTTTTCAGATAAAGCAGGTGTTTTATGATCGTAGTGTGTTGTAAATTGGTCACATGATCTTCGCTTCAATTGACCGTCTAGGCAAAATTGTCGGTATCTTTTCTTGCTGCTCCAGTTCTTTCCACAAAAGAGACTATAATTGCACTGCAAGGTCTCTTTTGATGACCTGGTAGAACCTAAGCTGACCGTTTAATGGCTGATAATTCGGCCTGCAGAATGCCACACTGATTAATATAAAAGCTTCATTATCTTAAATTGGAGAAAGAACACACTCTCTCAACATCGTTCGCAAAGGAATTCAGTCCAAAGAATTATTTCTATCCATAGGATGGACCAGAATTCACCAACTCCATGGTTGCAGCATTTATGAGAGGCCCGAAACTTTTCGTTGGCTTATCCAATGATCATCAGAAAGGTGATTTACTTACTACGTATGAGTTTGCCAACCAACTCCACGGTTGCAGCATTTATGAAAGGCCTCGTTGCCTCATCCAATGATCAGCAGAAAGGTAATTCTACTCACTAAGTAGGAGTTTGCCAAATGGCGTCCCTCTGGCTCACTGCTGCCAATGATAGCCACTTATAGTTCAGCTGTAGGCATGTCAAGGTCGAGTGGCAAGAACTTTAGCAATTATCGATGTTCTTCCGGTGACGGAAATCTCAGGCTATACTTGTTAGCAAAGCTTTTATTAATACCCCTCTTTGATCTTGAGATGTCCCCCTTAGATGATGATGACAGGAATCTTGGTGTTAGTGATCTTATCAAATCTGGTAGGCATTAGTAGATTGTTTCAAGCAACTAATCAGAAACAACGCTTTTAATTGTTACCCCTCTCAGATCTTGACGTGTCTTCCTTAGATGAGGATGACAGGAATCTTGATGTTAGTGATCTTAATCAATCTAGTAAACAGTAGTTGATGGTTATTATCGCTTATCCTCAGACGCCTGCGTCTACAAGGTCAGGTTGCAGTATCTTTAGCAACCGTCGATGATTCTCGAGTGGAGGAAATCTCAGGAGAATTGCTACCAAGAATACATAGCAATTCTTTTATTATTATCGCTCTTTGATCATGAAGTAGCCTCCTTAGAAGAGGATCACAGGAATCTTGGTGTTAGTGATCTAAATCAATCTAGAAGACATTAGTTTTAAACGCTTTGTATCTGACACCAGCGTCTACAAGGTCAGGTTGCAGGACCTCCAGCAATCAGCGATGATCCTCAAGTGAGGGAAATCTCATCCTTTATTCTTTCTGTTATATATTGATTCTACTTGATTGCAAGTGATTGGCGAGTAAACATTAGTTGATGGATTTAATCACTTACTTTCAGACATCTGCGTCTACAAGGTGGGGTTTCATGACCTCCAGCAGCCTCTGATGATCCTCGAGTGGTTTGATCTGGTTTCGGTGTTTTAAATTTAGTTGTAAAAAACTGACAAATCCGACACACTTTAACTGACACACAGTGGTATAGGAAAAAAAAGAGGGAAATAATTCGGAAACTTCTAAACTGTTAATCCGATTTTAATGAAATTTGGTATGCACGAGTTTAGGTTTTGAATTTGGACCTTATAGGCCAACCAGGGGCCCGGCGGGGGGTCCTCAAATTAGGACACCTCGGCTATGTTAAATTTTTAAAACGATCCTATTTCTTCATTTGAGTTCCGATTTAAAAATAATTTCGTATATAGAATCTCCTCATCGAGCACTATAAAAAATGTCGTCGTAGCAGTAAATTATCTCTTATAGTTTAGGAGATATTCGCATTTGAAAATTAAAATTTTAAAATTTTTACCGTCCTTACTTTTGTTTTTTTGATAATAGCGGGTCCAAATATTCCCGATTTTCGCCATTTTTTTTATTCGCTTAACAACAAGTTTATATATCAAGCAGTGAAAGAATTATGTAAAAATCATTACTGAGTCCAAAGTTATAGGCATTTTAATTTAAAAAATAAAAAAAGGCGATTTTTTGTCATTTTTTTGGGAAAAAAGTAAATTTTTCTTTTTAAGTTATCTAAAAAGTTTCTAAGAAGATGTATATAGAATTTATACTTTTTGGAAAGCTGACTTTACATAAAGTACGATAAATGAAACAAAACCTAAAAATTTTTGATACCGAGGGGACCAGGTCCATCCAAAAAAACCCTATTTTTTATGGAAAATTCAATTTTGAGCAAAAATTCTCAAATCGCATAGTCGATATCAAATTATAGTGACCTGTTTTATATGACCCAATATGTTCTTAATCATTTTGTAACGGGTTTCGATAACCCTGCCCCTGGTATGGATATAATAGGCAAAAAACCAAAAAATCCCATTTTTGGGATTTTTTAAAACTTTTTGGGAATTCCGGGATTTCTAATAAGAAAATTCGAAATTTTTATTTAATTTTGGATTTTAAGTAAAAAAATCTACCTAACTGTAAAATTTCATCAAAAAATATTCATAAAAAAAATTTTATTGCAATTTGAAAAATTTGTATCTTCGCAAAAACTGAATAAAAAGCATTTTTTAATTTTTTTAAAAAAAGTATTCCGCGAAATTTTTAATTTTCAAAAATTATATATATATATATATCGTTTTAAAAATTTAACATAGCCGAGGTATCCTAATTTGAGGACCCCCCGCCGGGCCCCTGGTTGGCCTATAAAACCTAAACTCGACAACACCTCCTCTTTGTGCATACCAAATTTCATTAAAATCGGATTAACCGTTTAGAAGTTACCGAATTATTTCCCTCTTTTTTTTTTTCCTATACCACTGTGTGACATTGCATTTCTAAAACCATAATTTGACACTTTACCAGTGCGAGATATCTTCGATACTTGGCAATGTATAAGTATTTTGTATTCCTATTGCCAATTTTTCAAATCTTCCTTAATCTTTTTCTATACACTGTTTCAGTTTTTCTTACAAACCACATTTATAATTAACAACTGTTATTGTGGTCAATTTAAACTAGAGTCTTTTATTAGTTCAACTAAACCCCCCTCCGAGATAATTTATACACAATTTAATATATTCTTCTTTATATATTATTCGCATTTCCTTTTTTTCCTTCTCCTCTACATTCCGCCGCGCTGTGGTTGCCACTTTAACAATACAGACAATGGTTAATCATGGTCGTGTTGAATTATTGGCTCATCCTTTAAGTCAGAAATATTTACAAATGAAATGGAATTCTTATGGAAAATATTTTCACCTGGCAAATCTTTTAATCTATTCAATATTCCTGTTATTTGTCACCATTTATTCGTCGCTCATGATGAATGGCATCAAGGTACAGAATCGTTGGCTGACCGCTAATTTAAGTAATATAAGAAATGGGTAAGTAGTGAGAAAGGTCATAAGAAAGTGATCGATTTGTATTTAGAAATTTCCTTTATAATTTTAGCTCCGATTTTATTGATTGCACTTTAAGCTCGAATCTGCGTTTGTTAAACTACACCTCTAGTTTAGAATGTTACGAGAGTATTGAACAGTCTAGGGCCATTATAGTTTGTGCAGTGGCTATTATTATTTATATCACTACGCTTTCACTGCGTGAGCTTATTCAAATGTATCAGCAACGTTTACATTATATTTTGGAAATTGATAATTTCATTTCGTGGGTTCTATACATATCAACATTAATAATGGTTATACCGGTTTTCAAAGCGGACGGTGGTATTACGAATGTTCATTATTCGGCCGCATCCATATCAGTGTTTCTATCATGGTTTCGTTTGTTGTTATTCTTACAGAGATTTGATCAGGTAAGATCTGCTAAAGCTTTAAAATTTTATTAGTATTTTCTATATCTTTCCGTATTCCCTTAAAGGTTGGCATTTATGTGGTCATGTTTTTGGAAATTTTACAAACATTGATCAAAGTCCTGTTGGTATTCTCAATATTAATAATTGCCTTTGGTTTGGCATTTTATATACTCCTTTCAAAGGTATTCTTTTCTTCAAACAACAATTGTAAAGTAAGACTGTTTCTAAATTATTTTTATTAAACAGATCATAGATCCTCAACCAAACCATTTGAGCTTTTCGAATATACCCATGTCTTTGTTGAGAACCTTCTCAATGATGTTGGGTGAATTGGATTTTGTGGGTACTTATGTCAATACCTATTATCGTGATCAATTAAAGGTTCCTATAACATCGTTTTTAATATTAAGTGAGTTTAATTTTTCCTTTGATCCTTTTTGCTGTAGATAATATAATTAATGATTTATTATATTTAAGGTGTATTTATGATTTTCATGCCGATTTTGCTCATGAATCTACTTATCGGTTTGGCGGTTGGTGATATTGAATCGGTGCGTCGTAACGCCCAATTAAAAAGATTGGCAATGCAGGTAAGTTGAAAGGAATCTTTCTCAATATCGTTATTTTATCCAGCAAAAACTTGAATATGCAAAACTACTGCTTACAGACTTTATGACAAAGAAGTAGTACAGTAATGATATAGAATGGAGTTATTTATTAGTCAGCTCTCTCAAAGCTAAGAAATCATATATTTTTCCTACTATTTCTATTTTCTTTTGAGGCGCTTACATGTAAGCGCTTGTTATAAGAACTTACCTCCAATAAAATCATTATATTTTAATAATTTGTTAAATCAAACCACTTAAACCTTGTTATTAATAAGTTTTTGCTGGGTTTAAAATAGTGGAACATTTAAAATTTGATCATTAATATTTACATATTCTTTCCGTTCTAGGTGGTTTTGCATACCGAACTGGAGAGAAAATTACCCCAAATGTGGTTGCAAAAAATTGATAAAATGGAATGGATTGAGTATCCGAATGAAACCAAATCAAAATTGGGCTTTTTCGATTTTATCTTAAGAAAATGGTTTTCAAATCCCTTTAGTGAGGATAGTAAGTTTTGCTCGAATAAATTTATATAAATTATACAAAAAAAACAACTAAGAAATTATAGTCGGGCGAGGCCGACCATATAATACCCTACACCTGTTACAAAATTAAAATGTGATTTAGTTTTCATAATAAAGCATTTAAGTTGAATTGTACCCTGTCTCAGATGTACTTAAGCCATTTATTGTTGAATAAAATTGTGAATATTTAAGTCAAATTTTGAAGGGGGCTTTGTATAGGGGATATGGTCAAATGAGACCCTATAATTATAAAATTCATGAGAATTATTAAGGCTAGCATAGAACTTTGTTTTGCAGCTTTTTGTCGAGATACCAGTATATTAAACATAATTATGAACTTAAGAGCCCTATTCGGGGATTCAGTTGTATGGGGGCTAGGTGAAATAATGGACCGATGTAGACCATTTTCAATAGGCTTCGTCTCCGATACTATAGAAGATCGTGTGCCAAATTTCATTGAATTATCTTAAAAATTGCGACCTGTAGTTTGATTACAAGGTTTACATGGACGGACAGACGGACGGACGGACATAGCTAAATCGACTCAGAAAATTATTCTAAGCCGATTGGTATACTTTAAGGTGGGTATTGGGCCAACGTTATTGTGCGTTATAAACATCAGCACAAACCCAATATACCCTCCCAACTAAAGTGGTGTAGAGTATAACAAGACAAAGGTTTTAGATAAAGCTAATTAAAAGGCTAAGAGTGAACATTAATTTCGAGATATTGAAGGTCAAAGATCACTAAGAACACATAAGAGATTTTTTTGAACTTCGACCTCCACTTTATACTTTATACTTTATATTTTATACTTTATACTTTATATTTTATACTTTATACTTTATTCTTTATATTTTATACTTTATATCTACCAATAATCTTAATCATTCATGTTCTGTAATTCACACTAAAATCAAATTTTTCTTAACCTTTTCTTCCAGCATCCATGGACGTTTTGCAATTCGAAAACAACGATGATTTCATCAACAGCGAGTTGGAGAAACAAAAACGTAAATTACGCGACATTAGTCGCATTCTAGAGCAACAACACCAACTACTGCGCTTAATAGTGCAAAAAATGGAAATTAAAACCGAAGCCGATGACGTAGATGAGGGTGTTTCACCCAATGACCTGCGTAGCACGGGCAGCGGTGGCGGTACTACAAGCGGTTCACGCTGGACCTCACCACGCATACGCAACAAATTGCGAGCGGCCTTAAGTTTTAATAAGGGCATTTAGGAGATAAGAAAGCGGCGGCTAAATACTGCTATTATTATTTAGTTTAGATAGAAAGTTTAAAACTTGATATCTGCTGCAAATACGTGTCGATACGAAGAATGGTATAATAATAAAATACTATTTTTATTAGAAATTTATTAAAAAAACTATGAGTTAGTATTTTAGAAGAAATATTATTAAATATTTTATACATTATATTTGTTTACTACTATTAGGCATATGTATATTATATTAGTATAAAATTGAGGAAGTGACTGAAATAAAACAAAAAAAAATTTGGAAAAGATTTAGAAACGCTAGAAGCAAAACACCAGTTTAGGGTATGTGGCAGATTAGAGTTATTATAGGAATATTAATTATTATTATATGGAACATATTGAATATATAAATTTGAAATTGAAATTGTTTTAAATGGTTCATTAGGTCTGTTAGAGGGAAATTAAGTTTAGTTAGTAATTTAATTAAAATTTTGGAATTATATTAATGTTTAAAAAAAATATTTTTTTTATTAAAAAAAATTTTAACTAAAACGAATTTACAAACATGGATAGGATTTTGGTTTGAAAACATTTTATATGATTTCAGTGAGGAAAGGCTAGTAGTTAAGAAAAATTTATGTAAAATAAATTTAAGGAAGTATTAAGAAGTAAGGTTAAGGCAAGGTCTCTGCTCAGATTTTGTTAGAGTTTGAAAAAGCCTACTAGAAGTTGCTAAAATACATATTTGTGTATTTAGAGAATTAGTTTAGATTTTAGTTAGTTTTAATTAGTTATTTAAAAAAAAGATTTCTTCTAAAAATCTACAACTACATATATGTATGTGTAAACTGTACTTTCTGTGTTAAAATGTGTTAAGAATTTCTTATTTAGTCCCAATATAATTAAGAATTTTGGTATTTTAGTTATTTTCTTTGAACAAAATCATTAAAAGGCATACATACATAACTAACTAAAACACCTTTAAAATGTTATGTTTTAGGTTTTTAAAAGTACTTAGTTAGTTGTTAGGTAGTCAAAAAAGAATCTTAAATCTCAACCCTCTTTAAAAATGTGTGTGACTCTCCCTACAATTGTTTCTTAACTTTTAACAAAACATTTAAAGAATAAACACAGGGATCTAAGTAGTATTAAGACATATTTAAAGCAGCATGTGTGCACAAAAACTGCAAAAACAAAAGCGTATGTAATTATGAAATTGAGAAAAAAAATGTTGTAGGTACCTGAAATTTTATAGAAAATGTTGCAACAACAATTGCAGGACAAGGAATTCGTCTCTTTTTTACCTAAAAACTAAATTGTAACAGAACGCAAGGGATTTTTTTCGTGAAGGTCGTCGTCTGTTTTAAAAATAATAATGTAAAATTTTAAGAAAAAAATAAACAAAGGAAAACATATTTTTTATATTATTGCTGTAGCGAATTTATAAGTAAATAAGAAAAAATTTTAAATTAAAAAAAAAAAACTATAAAAACAACAACTTAAATGTTTATAAGTTTTTGTTAATGTTAAACAGACTATTATACATTTAAAAATAAATAAATAAATTATTTTTAATAAAAAATACTTAAAAGTCTGATTTGGTAAAATGTAATCTCGATTAAAATTCTATTTCGAACCCTAGATGGTCTAGCAAAAGACAATTGTTTTAAAACCCTTTCTTTAAGAATTAAGTAAATGTTAGTTTTTTTTCCTTAAATTTTCCATCCCAAAAACTTTCATTTTATCAAATCCGACTTTTAAATTTTAAATTTCATAACCATATTATTATTATTATTATTATTATATGTTATTGTTGTTGTAATATTGTTATATTTATACACTTTATAAAAGCAAATGTGCATAATTATTTGTATTACAAGAACGGAACCAAAAAAAAACAAACAGAAATTATAAATAAAACTCAATTTTATGATGTGTCAAGAAAAAGGTAAAAAAATTGTTTTATTTGAAAGACTGAGAATAGGTAAAGTATAGTATTACCCAGCAGTTCGACAAAGAGTCAATGCATCCAAAAAAGGCAGCGATTTCCCCTAATATCTAACCACACGCTTGGCTCAAATTCGTCTTTCATCACGGAAGTACTCTTTGTAAAAGACATTGAAGTGTCCCCTTTGTAAGCCAGAGATAGGGAGGATACTTAAAGAACAAACTGTCTGTCTCTAAGTAATCTATGGGATGATGATTGACATCCTCATAGGACAAGTACATGTTGAAATAGCTTAAAACCTGGACAGTCACTGGCTAGGGGTAACCCTAAGTGGTAGTTTAAATAGGCAGTTCGCAGCTGTCCGATCGAACAGATGGGTAATCGCATCGTATTCACGAAATTTAAAACACTGCTCCGAAACAATCCGATTTCAAATTATAAAAGCTCAACTTAGCAACAGCTGTATTCAGTATTTTTAACATTTTGATACCCTACACCATTATATTTAGATGGTATTATAGGTTTGTACTGTTGTAGGTAGCGTATAGAAATATTTGTCATACTTAATACATATAAATCGGCTCAGAATCATTTTCCAAATTAATTCATCTCTTTGTCAATATAAACATTTTAACTATAGATCTCTATTTTAAAGATAATTTGGTAAAATTTGGCACATGCGCCTGGACAATGGACCAGCCTAATAAAAATGCTTGAACTATAAAACAAATACATACATAAATTATGGGTTGTCACTAGATACTAAAACGATGTAGTCATATCCGTCCGTCTGCCGATAGGATAGAATGAGGATATATCCATAAATGACCCTTACCCCCCATATAAGGACGCCATCAGAAAATCACTTTAACGTAAAGTTTGACAAAAATCAGAATTCTCTTTAATAATTATTATGAGGATTGGAGCCTTTCGACAGAAACCAGTTTAATAGAAACAGATATCCCAGATATTGTATAAGGGTCCGTTCATAATTGTCCTTATCAAACATATAAGAAACACTTCCCTCCCTAAATTGTATAATTGATCTTATAAGGACAACTTCAGAAAATCACTTTAACGCTCATAATTAATTCAAAAATATCCGTAAGTTATGAATTTAAACATAAACAAGTTTTATAAAAATTTCATAAAGATCGGTCTCCCGATATAAAGCCCCCTTCAGAGCATTACTTTAAAGCCCATAACTGTCTTTATACCAGTTTAGCGACGCAATTCAACATAAACAAGTTTTGTAGGAATAAAAATCTAGCTTACAAGATATTTTAATCTAATTTCGACCAAAGCCTGATAGGTTCTACACTTATCTGAATCCGTTTTTTAATTCAACCCTCGTTGCATCGAATACTTTTGCATTCATCACTTTAACTTTCCCAAGTTCCCTTCCCCTTCATAGCATGTACGAAAGTATGCAAATACATTCGATCTTTTATTGACGATCTGTTGCCCATATGGGCTCACTTACAGTCCTATTTAATCCAATTCATTTTACACTTTACGTTATAGCACAGACTTTCGCTATCTCGGATTCAGGGTTTTCAATGTAGATACCCAGCCCTGTTTTGTTTGTCCTGTTTAATATCCTGTAACTGACAATTCAATTCGCTTAAATGTAGAAAGCTGCCTCGTATACTACATATGTATGTACGTTTCGATATGAGGCTCAATTAGCAAAAAACTTATAGCCCATTTACGCCCAAGCAACAGGTAGGTACACCGAGGTGGTAAATAAACAACACTTTTTTGTCCACCACATTAAAGAAACGTTAGTAAGAATTAGTCTAATTAGCAGGCTTTTATTAAGCCAATGTGTCACAACTGGTTTAACAAAAGCAGTCAGTGAATTCGTCCTGTTTAGAGACAAATATCAAAATTCCTTTAACAAAAGTAGATTTAAGTTGACAGTGAACGAATTGTTCCGGCGACATTCATCTACACGCTATCTGACTATCATGAAAGTCCTCAAGATAAAAGTTATTCAAATTTGTAGATGCATTTGTTTAAGACCCTATTGCAATGGCAAGACTCCTCTTATCACCTAACTAACACACACACAAACATGTAAATAATTACTTTTTATCTTTTTGTATAAGACCGTCTAACTGCTACCTGCCGAAGCAAGAAATTTTTTGTGCCAGAATATAACAAAAGCTTTTTAAAACAATTACCATTTAAGATATGGTATTATTAATACATTTTAGTTAAGTATTCATAAACTTTATGTCTCCTACTACAAATACAAATTCTTAGCTTTTTTAACAATCATACCTGTTGGATCTTGAGTTGCATATTGTTGTAAATTTCATATTTTTTTAGGTTTACAGCATTTAAGCTTTAACACTAACTTATTTTCACCAATAGCACCGTTTCTAATTGTAATATTTTACACTTTGTATTAATTTTTATCAAATTTTATAAAAGTTCCCGCAATTTTCATTATTTAGCACTAATTTTTGTTTATTTACACCTGGCAATGCCCTATTCGCGTTACCAACTAGTTGCTTACAAAAATTAACTATTTATTAATTCTCCACCTCCAACAATGTGGCCAATATAAAAGTTTTCGTGTGAAATATAACGAATTGCTAGAATTCTAGCGATTTTTTGTAGAGAAAAAGTAAAAAACTCATAATTGAAACTTAAAGTTTTTTTAATATTACATATACAAACATGCAATGTCTTAATTGTGGAACAAATTTACAAACGAAATTTAATCTGTTTAAACCAAATCATCCCTACAAACATTTGGGATTTATCTTGTATAGAAGATAAAAAAGCAATATCTTAATTTAATTATTTAGAAGAAGATCACCAAAACACATGTACATATTCAAGAAGATAAGATAAAAGCTATCCTGTGAACTGAAACATGAGCATTATTTTGAAAAAACTTAGTTAGTTAGTAGTAGTTAGTTAGGTAGTTAGTAGTAGTTAGTTAGTTAGTTAGGTAGTTAGTTAGTTAGTTAGTTAGTTAGTTAGTTAGTTAGTTAGTTAGTAGTTAGTTAGTTAGTTAGTTAGTAGAGTTAGTTAGTTAGTTAGTTAGTTAGTTAGTTAGTTAGTTAGTTAGTTAGTTAGTTAGTTAGTTAGTTAGTTAGTTAGTTAGTTAGTTAGTTAGTTAGTAGTAGTTAGTTAGTTAGTTAGTTAGTAGTAGTTAGTTAGTTAGTTAGTTAGTTAGTTAGTTAGTTAGTAGTAGTTAGTAGTTAGTTAGTTAGTTAGTTAGTTAGTAGTTAGTAGTTAGTAGTTAGTAGTTAGTTAGTTAGTTAGTTAGTAGTTAGTTAGTTAGTTAGTTAGTTAGTTAGTTAGTTAGTTAGTTAGTTAGTTAGTTAGTTAGTTAGTTAGTAGTTAGTTAGTAGTAGTTAGTTAGTTAGTTAGTTAGTTAGTTAGTTAGTTAGTTAGTTAGAGTTAGTCGTTAGTTAGTTAGTTAGTTAGTTAGTAGTTAGTTAGTTAGTAGTAGTTAGTTAGTTAGTAGTTAGTTAGTTAGTTAGAGTTAGTTAGTTAGTTAGTTAGTTAGTTCGTTAGTTAGTTAGTTAGTAGTTGTTAGTTAGTGTTAGTTAGTTAGTTAGTAGTTAGTTAGTTAGGTAGTTAGTTGTTAGTTATTAGTTAGTTAGTTAGTTAGTTATTTAGTAGTAGTTAGTTAGTTAGTTAGTTAGTTAGTTAGTTTAGTTAGTTAGTTAGTTAGTTAAGTTAGTTAGTTAGTTAGTTAGTTAGTTAGTTAGTTAGTTAGGTTAGTTAGTTAGTTAGTTAGTTAGTTAGTTAGTTAGTTAGTTTTAGTTAGTTAGTTAGCTAAGTTAGTTAGTAGTTAGTTAGTTAGTTAGTTAGTTAGTTAGTTTAGTTCGTTAGTTAGTTAGTTAGTTAGTTAGTTAGTTAGGTAGTTAGTAGTTAGTAGTTAGTTAGTTAGTTAGTTAGTTAGGTTAGTTAGTAGTAGTTAGTTAGTAGTTAGTTAGTTAGTTAGTTAGTTAGTTAGTTCGTAGTTTAGTTAGTTAGTTAGTTAGTTAGTTAGTTAGTTAGTTAGTTAGTTAGTTAGTAGTTAGTTAGTAGTTAGTTCGTTAGTTAGTTAGTTAGTTAGTTAGGTTAGTTAGTTAGTTAGTTAGTTATTAGTTAGTTAGTTAGTTAGTTAGTTAGTAGTTAGTTAGTTAGTTAGTTAGTTAGTTAGTTAGTTAGTTAGTTAGTAGTTAGTTAGTTAGTTAGTTAGTTAGCGGAATGGATAGGACCGATTTGAAATTTTCAAAAATTGTATAAAAATTAAAACCCTTTTCCACAGATCGACAGTATTATTGAACAAAATATTTTAAGCGCTTTCCGGACACTTCTTGATATAAAATTTCGAATTTTAATTCCTATACTAAAATATCGCCAAATTTTTTAAACAATTTTATTATTTTTTATGGCTAACACTATTTCTTCCTTATATATATATTTACTTTTTACTACCATCTTTATCGTCTTACTACTTTTTTCCCCTTAAATCTATTGAATTTAGAACAAATTAGAAATATGTATATTTTTTTTGTTTTTAAATTGGAAAATATTTTTTTAGTGATTTTTGCGTGAAATACGCGTTTTTTTTTTCAATTTGGTGTTTTTTGTTTTTTTAAAGTTGACAACGCTGTACTTTTTCTCTACACAAAAGTCGATATACGCAGCGAGCGCCATTCACAGTGCACGAGTAATTGTTTGTCGTTCGTCAAGTGAAGTTGTGTTTTTCTATATCGGCTGCTTCACAAAACTGAATTTTTTCTTTTTCTCAAGTGATACATACAAAAAGTGAGGTGTAGAACAGAAAAGCAGCCATTTTGGTTTTTTTTTACTACACAACCAAGAAAAAAAGTATTTTTACAAATTAATTAATTAAGTGAATTTGTTATAAGAAAAATAAACTGTATTTTAAAGAAACAGTTTATTAGTGGCTGTAAATTTTTAATTAAATAAAGGTAAGTTTGATTTTTAATATATTTTTCTAAAAATTCTTGTCCTTTGTCTATGGGTGAAAAAATGAGTCATGTTTTCTTTTTATATTTAGAAAAAGTGGGGATTTTTTGTGATTTCTGGTGTTTTATTTAGTTAAATTTAAGTAATTTTGTTAAATTATTAGTTAACTTTAGTTATATAATCCTAATTTACTAACTTTTTTTGTTTTATATATAAATTTTCTTTTCACTCGTGTGTCTGGGGTTGTAGTCACATTTTTTTTTCATTGCTTCGTTTTTTGTAGTTGAAAAAAGATCTAGAAATGTGTACCCCTTCATATTTGTTGGTTTGTTAGAAAGAATAAGAAAAAAAAACATGTTCAAGGGGGTACAGTTAGCTAGCGTTTTGTTTATGAATTAAATGTTTTTTTATTTTCTATTTATTTTAAGAATAACTTGTTTTAAAAAGAAAGTTTTTTTGTATTAAAGAAATTGGCTTTTATTTTTTCGAACCGGCCGGCTTTTTTCTGTAGAAAATCTTTAAAATATTTGCACGTCATCGTTTTAAGTTTTTTTTCTATTTCTCCATTCATTATTAAAAATCTATACTCTAGCGCGCCATTTTGTTTGCTTTTGCTTGCTTGTTTTTTTTTGTGTAATTTCTCGCTCTTTAGTTTTGTAGATATTTTTCTCTTTTATTTTGATAGTTCTCTTTTGGTGTATTTGTCAAGTACATGAATTATTCATGGAAAAATGCCGGTGTTAATGATCTTTTGATTGTTGAAATAGGGGGGGATTGAGAAAAAACGTGAATTACATTTATTAAAAAACCTGTTTTTTTATAAAGTTAAAAAGTGGTAGAAGTGTTGTGTTAAGTTTTTAAATTAAAAGAACAAAGAAATTTGGAAAATTTTGCAAAATTTTAATTGTTATTTTGGCTTTTTAGCAACTCGCAATTTATTTTAAAAATATTTAAATTTTAGAAATTTTAAATTTGCTTTTGTAATATTTGATCTTTTTATTTAACTACGTGAGCAAACTTTTTTCAAAAGTATTTGAAATTTATGCGTTTTTTAACCCTGAAACTGACAATTTGGTTATTAAGTTAATATAGTTTTGAAATTATACCTATAAAGTTGTCAAAATTAGCGGAGATTTGTTTACTATTAGTCAAACGAATTTACTTAGCTAGGGTTATCCTAAGTAGGCCGATGAACTAGCCAGAAAGGGGTTGCGTTGGGTTCTATTCAAAAGTAGTATCGTCTGGTTCTTTCTTCAAAATCCTGCAATTAAATGGTTTAATTTGGTCACATGTAGAGGGGCCAAGTTAAGGTCGTTTTTTCAATGAGAAAAACTCCTAAGCCAGAATAGATGGGATATTTTGATCTTGTAGGCAGTAATAACTGGGCGCTAACCTGGCATGCGGGCTGTTCAATGAATACTGTCGCAGTTGCAAAGAAAGGAAAAAAGGAAGATACGGTCTTCCAACTTCTTTGTAAATGCCTTGCTCTAACCGCTAACAGTAGCAGATTATTTGGTAACTACTTCAGTATCCAATATTGATGCATTATTGGATTAAAACTAAATTACCTCCGGAGATTTCTCACAGCAACAGGAAACTAGAAAACAAAACAATTTTTAAAGTTTTGTTAAAATAAACTAACATTCAGTAAAGTAAATGAATACTGTTGCAGTTGCAAGATAAGGAAAAAGAAAGTAACAGCCTTCTTCCATCTTTACAAATGCTCCTCTCTAACCGTTAGATTCTTTGGCAACTATGTGATATCTAATCTTGGTAAGCTATTTGGTTCAAGACTTAATCACCTCCGAAGATTTCTCACTGCTAAAGGAAACTAGAAAACAAAACAATTTTTAAAATTTTGTTAAAATAACTTTTGTATTTTTAGTATTTCAAAGAATCTTTTGGAATAGGTATCTTCTAAAATTCCAAAATTATGTGGAGATTTGTTTAAAATCAGAAAAAGAAAAACAATTTTGTTCAAAGGGTTTAAAGAAAAACTAGGTTTTAAGTACTTTTTTAATGTTTTGCGAAAGACTCTTTAAGAAAGTGTTGTAAAATTGCAAAATTATTTAGAATTTTATTTGGTTTAAGTATTTTTTAAACGTATTTCAAAGAATCTTTTAGAATAACTTCCCAAACAAAACAAATTTGCTAATTTAGTTCAAAAACAATAGGTTTTTCAATGTTTTACCAAAAAGTATTTAAGAAAATTTCGAAAAATTGCAAAAATATTTAGAGAGTTATTCAGAAACTAAAAAAGGAAAACAATGTTTTATATTTTGTTATAGAATCTCTTTGTTTTAAGTAGGTATTTAAACAATACAGTATGTTCTGTAAACTGAAAATCTTAAGTAAATCTTGTAAAAGAGTTTGTTCAAGAATTATGCACCTTGCTTGCTTATTTTGTATTGAAAATAACAAAAAATTTGGGATTTATTTCTTAATTTCAATATAAATATAAAAAAGGCCCTAAATTTGATCTACCTACTTTCTAACTAAGTTTATAAAACTACAAAATTATTTAGAATTTTATTTATATTTCCTGAGATTTAAAAACTAAAAATAGAACTAGAAAACCTTTAGCTATTAACTCAAAACATATGTATATTAGATTAAACCCAGTTCTTAACACAAAACCGGTTTTATTTGTAATATAACTTAACAAACAACAAAAATAACATAAAATTGTGTATCTATCAGTTAAAACATTCTATCTACCTATTATATTTTTCTATACCTGACTACCTAACTACAATTACTTACTTCCCTTTTTTTCATAGACAGCTTCCTTTAGCAATTAAACCACCCCTATATGTATACAAAAACTAACCCTCTTCTTTTTTACTCTTATGGCGCTTCTCTCTCTTTATAAAAACCATTATATTTTCTTCTAATTTCTGTTCACACTCTACTCTTTACATCAGTTTAATTTTAACTCTGCTTTAGTAAACAACTCGTTGTGATTTCTTTTTAATTTCTTCTAATTGCCATTTAATTTAGTGCAATATTTAAAAAAAGTAAAGAAAACCCTAAGTGTACATACTAAATTTTTTAAAAAAAAGTAAGCTGGAGTTGTGTTTAACAAATTTGTATATTTTAGATTAAAATTTTTTGCTTTAAATGATCAGTTTTTTTAATTTATTTCTTTTAAAAATTGTGTGCTTTGTTTTGTGCGCTGTTTTTTGTTTTTTATTTATTTTCAGCTTAAATTTAGTTAAATTGTCCCCTTGTCTTGTCCTCCCTTAATTAGTTAAATTTAGTTTTATTTATTTAAACAAAAAAAAACCTTTTTAACAACCATGTGTCCAAGGTATGCTTTCGTGTTTTTTGTGTTAAATTTATATTAAAATTTAGATTTCCTTAGAAAAAATTAAAATTTTAATCAATTATTTCTTTTATATCTTTTAACTCCAGCGTTAAACAAGTCACCCAAAACAACTCAAATAACAAAACAATGGCTTTCCGCAATCAAAATCGTAATCGCAACTTTGGCGGTAATAATTATGGCGGTGGTCCCATGGGTGGTGGCAATCGTGGCGGCGGCATGGGTGGCAACATGAATATGTCTCCCTGGGAAGGACAAAGCGGTGGTCCCAGTAACTTTGGTGGCAATATGCGCCAAGGTGGTGGCGGTCAAGGTGGTCAAGGCATGAATGCCCAAGCCATCAATTTGGCCAATAATCTTTTGAACAATCTATTCCGTAATCAAAATCCTCCCTCTCTATTGGATATGCCCCGTGGTGGCAATATGGGTAATCGTGGACAACGTGGTGCACCGGTATGTATATGATTTTTATCATTATATTTTAATAAGTCTTGAAAAAATAGGTATTTTTCTATTTAACAAATTAAAAAAAAAGAAAATGCGGTTTTGCTTAAGAAAAACTTTTATGTTTTATAAGGGTTGTTGGAAATTTTGAAAAATATCTTAAATATTATTAAGGGATTTTAATATGAACCCTTATTTTTTTTAACAACAACTGTTATGTTTTGTTTATTTATCCCTTATATTAAAGCACTTTTTTAAAAATAAAACACCACCTTATTAAGGGTTTTTTTGCTTAAGAAACCTGATAACACCATAAATGCATGATAACTTTAAAAAGGAGACTGGAAACTACTCCAAAAGAGAAGAAGAAACTTATTTATACGATTACGTTTGTTATATTCTAATAATTTTTATTATTATCCTTTTATGAGGCAATATTTTTTTAAATAAAAATTATTGAAATGTTAATTTTTATGTTTTAAAAAGTAAATCTGCATGTTTTACTTTAAATTTCACAATATATTTAGAATTTTGCAAAAATTTATTAAAAACATAACACTGAAAATGCTCATAAATTTCGATCTAACTCAAACATACCGTAAAAATTTATTTAAGAGTATTAATTAAGTCCCATATACTAGTACTTCAAACTTGTGAGTTAAAAAGATGATGTTTACAAGAGATTTTTTATAAATTTGATTATAATGTGGACGATAAAGTTGAGTGGGCTTTAAAAATGTTTATATTCCATAATGGGTTCTAAACATGACTTTTTCTTTTATTTTTTAAAATTTTATTACAATTTGAAAGTATTTCCTGCCAAAGTTTGGATTTAAACTTGAGTCTGCAAGTTGCTCTGGATTCTATTTCAACTAGTTGATAAAATAATTTATATTTCGTTCCGACAACGACTGCCTAGCGATCTAAACCTATATTTTCGAAATAAAACTAAAATGTTCTACATATTTAGTTCTACTAAAGGAAATAATATGCTTTATAACGACCACTCATTACCAAGTAATGTATGAAATACCTACTTTTGATAAACAAGAGTTTTTTTTACCGAAATAACACAAAAGGATTGCGATATCGAAATTAAACTAAAAAGTTCCAGAGTTTTGGTTATACTAAACGAAATAATGTGCTTTATAACGATCACTCATTACCAAGTAAAGTATGAAATAACTACTTTTCATAAACAAGAGTTTTTTCATTGAAATAACACAAAATGTTTGTGTCACAAACACATTTCAAAATAGAAATTAAACTAAAAAGTTCTAGAAAAAATGTGTTTCATAACGACCACTCACTACCAAGTAATGTGTGAAATAACTACTTTTCATAAACACGACTTTTTTTCTCCGAAATAACACAAACACATTTCGATATCGAAATTAAACTAAAAAGTTTTAGATCTCTGTTCAATAACGAATATCATCTAACGATTTACATTTTTAATAAACAACCAATTTTTGAGTAAATTTCTTCTCATCTTATTGATATGAGAATCAGATCAGATTGATTACTACAATCCTGGAGCCTGCTTCAGCAAAAGTTTCATATGGCTGTTTCAGTGTATGTTTAACACTGCAAGATTCGTTCAATTCCTTTCTCTTACCAAAGTTTAAAATTTAAGGAGAGTTTTTTAACAAACTTTACGAGTAAATCCTAAACCTGGCAGTAAATTTCTTCTCATATCTAAAGCCCAAAGAATCATATTATTAACTCAAATTGATAAACTAAAGTTTAAGCCATTTCACACTCTCCTTTTGGTTTAAAAACATACTACCCCCTTTAGACTCTTATATTTACATAAAAGTTTTGAAATTTTCTACCGCATTTCTCTTTATAGGAACTTATTTTGAATAGGTTTTACTTTATACCATCTTTTATGTATTTTTTATACTAGATTTAAGTTTAATTTTAAATTTATAATTTTTTTTGTCGTAAGTCTAGTTAATTTAATTTTTTTATTTTCAACGTTTTGCAAGCAAGTTTTCTTTTATTAAGTTCTTTTACTACATTTTAAATATTAGTAAACAAAATATTTGTACAACAACGTTTTCTTCTTTTTTGTTTAAACTAAAGAAAAAAACCTCTTAATTTTTCCTTTTACTTTAAATAGAGATTTAATTTTAAGACCTAAATTCTTTTTTTTTTTAATAATAATAATAATATTTTAAATAAATTTTCTAGTCATATTACATAATAAATAAATAATTTAGTAATTTAATTGCTACAACTTAAGATTCAAATATAATTCTACCATTATTATTATTATTGTTTTTTTTGGATAATTTCCAAAACTTTTCTAATTATAAATTGTTTTTTTATTTTATTCTCTCTTCTCCATGTTCTCTCTCTCAAAAAAACAAACAAACAAATGTTTGAAAAACACGAAATAATATTCAATTTTGACCCTTCAAAATGAAATGTTGAATTGATAACAATTTTGGTGTTCTTTTTTTTGGATAAAAAACACAAACTCCCAACTACTTCTGTGCCACACAACTATTTCGTCATCCAAATCAACCAATTTACAAAAATATATACAAACAAAATGCATCAATATTTTTTAAAACATCAACTGTTGTGATTTCTAAAACTGTGTGATGGTCCTCTCTTGATGATAATGATGATGATGGTTTTGAAAACTATGAAAAAAAAAACATATAAAATCTGATGATGCCTATATAAATATCAAACCTGATATTAAAAAACAATTGCAAATTTTGCCAACACATTGCTGTTGTTGTTTGTTCATTGGTTTGTCTGTTTCAAAAAAACATGGTCGTTGTGTTAACAATTGTTATTGTTGTTATTTGCCCCTTTAAACACCTATTTAACGCATATAAAAAAAAAAAAAAACAAAACTAACACGTATTTTTTATGTGTTGGTGTTTTTTATTTCTGTTAAAATATTTAATAAACTTTATAAAAAAAATTCATAAATAAATTCATAATTATGTGATGGGGGTGTTGGGCAATTTTAAACAACAATCGTTTTTGTATAAACAACTAAACACACGACTTTTGTTGTTCTACGATTTGTTATTTTATTAACAATTAACATACAAACGAAACATTAACAAACTCTATGCAACACAACATTTTGCAAAATAAACTGCAAATAAACCAAAATAAACAAACACAAAATGGACGCGCCTTGAAATGCTATAAAATGATCTTGATATGATTGATATTATGATATGATAATTCTTGTGATGATTCCCATTGTGTGTGCGTGCTTATACAAATATATTATAAATGCAACTGGTGCCATATTCAACTTAATCTCTGCTACACACTTCAACCTACTGCCAACATCCATACTGTACTGTTATGTACTTTAAAACGTATCTATCTCTATATATTTATATATATCTGCCCAACAATTGTGTACAACTTTTATTATATTATTTTGTTTTTATTTTTTTTTGCTTAAAACAAATGTGTGTGATCAAAATATGATGTTGTTTGCAACAAAAAATGTCACTTTTTTATATGAATGATTTTAAATTATTGTTCTTTTTAAACAAAAAAATATGTGTAAAATTGTAAAACTAATAACAATTATTAATTGGGTTTCTCAATTATAATCTATAACAAAAACAAAAAAAATTTGAAAAATCAAACAAATTTTAAAAAATTTTTAAAATATTTTATTATATATTTTAATTTTAAATGAAAAATCATAAAAAAAAATCAACAAAAATGTTATAAAAATCTTAAAATATTTCTGCCACACGCCTAAAAAAACAACAAATATTTATATTCCATATAACATGATATATGATTGCCTTTTTTTTTGAAAAAAAAAAACCAAACCATAAAACCACCACCACTATTTTCCACTTATTTTCAACGTATTGACCATCATTCAAAACAAAATATTGTTTAATATTGTTTAATAACAAAATGCGCCACCAACAACAACGTTCGTTCAAAATAAAATGTATAAAATGTATAAAAATGTAAAAATTTAATATATTTCTAAAACTGCTGCTGTGTTCTATATATATAAAAATATGAATAAAAAAATGTATTATTGTATTTGAAAATATCAACAACAAAACCTTAATTTTTACTACAACTACTTACCACCCACAACACCAAACAATCTCTTTTTTGTTTTCTCTCATCATTTTAAAATGTGTGTTTAAACTATAAAATTTAAAAATTTTCTTAAAAAAAATAAACTATTTTTTACCTTGTTAAAACAAAATGTGTGCGCTTTATAACTTGTTAAAACTCAAAATAATACAAAAATCGAAAAATACTACTTAAAAAACTAAAACAGATGGTCAATCGTGGTGGTCCTGGTGGCAATCGTCCTAATAATCGTCGTGGTCAAGGAGGTTTCCAAAACCGTGCTGGTCCTAAATCAGCTTCTAAGCCCGGCGCTGGTGGCGGCATTCGTAAACAGAATGCCTTTGATCGTGCAAAGAAACTTTTGGCTAAAAATGCCAACAATAAAAAGAAGGATTCCGCTTCTGGCGATAAGAAAACTGAGAGGTAAGCCTTTTTTAAACAAAAAACAAATCTTCAAAACAAAACAAAATTTTTCAAAATAATTTTTCCATTTGAAAACAAAATACAAAAAAATATATATTTAAATGTATTTTTTTTATATAAATAATTCCATAATTTTTTTCAAAATAATTTTATATTATACTTTGACTACTACTACTACTATATATAAGCCATATTATATAATATTCTTATATTTAGGGAGGGAGCAGCAGAGTTTTCTTTTAATTATTCTAAAAGAAACTCTTTGTTTTTTTGGGGGTTTTGGTTATGTTGTCTTAACTAGACCAGCTTTTAAAAGGGGGGAAGAAGGTTATTTTTGCAGTTTTTATAATAAAAAGTTTTTAATTTTTTTTTTTACAATTTATTTTTATGTTAACTTTAAGTTTCTTTTTTTAATTATTATTTTCTTATATGTTTAAAAAAGAGTTTTAGCTAAGAATCTTGTGTTTATATTATTTATATTTTTTACAAAATGTTAATTGTTTTTAAAGGTTTTGTAGTTAATGTATGCATAGTTAAGGATTTTTTGCTAAAACTCTTTTTTTTTAACAAAATAACAAATTGGGGTTTTATATATTTATTACTATTTTATATATATAAAAAATTATTTAACTATTTCAGCTTGAAAAAAAATAATGGTTTAGCATATTCTTGAAAGTGGTTTAACTGATTATTCAGTTGTAAAAGAGTTTGGATTTATTAATTTGAAGTGCAAATTACTATGAATTCTAGAGTTCTTCTGTATTAAGTTCTTTGAGATCTTATAGGTTTATACCTTCTCTTTGTAAGACTTATGTGATTTAAAAATTATACGAAATTCCGTAAGAATATTTGGAAGTGATAAAAAAGGTTTAAATATCAAGTTAATTGCTGGATAAAGTTTCCCTTAAGCCAAGTAACTGTAGCCGAAGTGTCAAACTTGAATTAGTAAGTGAGAACTTGGTTCGATTCCCAAACGCTGCCTATCAACAAGAACATCAGTTTATGATAAATTTTTAGTATCTATCAAAAACAACTATTTTTTACAGCGCCCTCTTTCGGCGGTATACTCCATAGCATTAAATGTCAAAGAAGTAATATAAATTACAGCTTGAAGTAATGCGCTAAGGCGCCTGCAACAGACGCCTTATTTCATGGAATTAAACATATTTATTTACGTCTTGATAGACTCTTATAAGCATTGGTTTCATGTTTAAGCTTGGCAACTCAAATCCTATATAATGAACCTTCATTTCTTGGCCTAAGTGTCCTTAAACCATACATAAAGATAAAGACTCTCGTAAGCAATTCAAAACCAAGTTAATGAACTTGGATTTTGTGGGCTTAGCGCTTCTACAGGCAATTTTTTTTCCTTCAAGTCTTGATAGAACTTATATAAAGTTCTTGCGCGTCTGGTTTCCCTTAAGTCTTGATAAGAAATGTAGCCTCTCGTAAGTCCAGTTTTCATTTCTGGGCTTTACAACTAAAAAACATTGATATTGAAACTTGATTTCTTGAACTTAGCTCGAACTTTTCTTGATCAATCATGAAAATTGAAACAAATTTACGAAAAGAAGGGAATAATTCTAAATTCTCAAGTAAATTGCTAGATAAAGCCTCTCGTAAGTCCAGTTTTCAACTAAAAAACTTTGATATTGAAACTTGATTTCGTTGACTTTTTCATTATTCAATAACTTTTCTTGATCAATCATGAAAATAGAAACAAATCTGTGCAATAAAGAAAAATAACTTTAAATCTTAAGTAAATTGTTCTTTAAAGCCTCTCGGGAAGTCAAGATTAAATTTATGGACTTAACAATTGAAAACCTTGATATTGAATCTTGATTTCGTAGACTTAACTTTTCATACTTCAATAAATTTTCTTGATTAATCATTAAAATAGAAACAAATTTTTTAAATGAAGACAAGAAGTTTAAATCTCAAGTAAATTGCTGGATAAAGCCTCTCGTAAGTTCAGATTTCATTTCTGGACTTAACAATTGAAAATCTTGATATTGAATCTTGATTCGTGGACTTGGCGCACTTAACATAATAGAAATAAATTCTCGAAATGAAGAAAAGAAGTTTAAATCTCAAGTAAATTCATTTCTAAGTTTGACGATGCAAGACTTTGATATCGAACCTTGATTTCGTGGACTTAGCGCCCTAAATATACAACTGTTTTATTTTCGAGTCCTATTAAGAAGTAGATTTTGCAAACCAAGTTTCGTTTTTGAATTGCAAACTAAAGATATTACTCAACTTTATTAAATTGCTAGTTAAAGCCTTCTTTAGCTCTGGTTTTATTACTGCGATAGTAATTCTAACTTCTCTATAAAAAAATGAACTGAAATTAGATTTAGGTTTGGATAAACCTCAAACTCAAACATCGGACAAACAAGTCTATGAATCAGTTTAAAGATTATGCATAGTTTTGTAATTTTCAAACCAAACTGCATCCCATCGATCCTGAGGATTTCATTTTCTATTTCCATAATTATGAAGTCAACAAAAATTTGCCTTAATACAACATAACTCGTTCAGTTCGTCCACTTTTCATTAGCAAACTCGAATGTTTTGTTTGGTTTTTGAAAGACGTATTCTTTGACAACGAAAATACTGTAAAAGGTGCATTCTTCCGCATCGCAACTCCTTGAAAAGCAATAAATTTTTTCCGTAATTTCCCAACCAAACTACTCAAGAATATCTTAAACCATTTAAAATATCATCAAAGAAATTGAAATTTTCTTTTAAACTATAACTCCATATTTAAATTAAAACCTCTCTTTTATAAATACTATTCACAATTCCCTCTTCCTCATCATATCACCATCAAACAACCAAAAAACCATATAAGTTTTATCGACAAACATTTCTAATGAAATTCTTTTCTTTTATCTCTCCTTTATTTTTTCTCCATTAACGTTAATTTTTGGGGATGAATAAAAAAAAAAACAAAAACTCCATTAAAATACAACAGCAAAGAGTCTCCCTATGCCAATGTACCCAACGATATGTTCTACTGTCATCTCTGCAAGAAACACATGTGGGATGCCAACTCATTTGAGAATCACATCAAGGGACGCACTCATTTAATGATGCGCGAAGGTATTGAAGAAAGCTATCGTCTAAAGGCCAATATGATCCGTCAGGAAGCCAAGATTGCTGAGCAATTGAAATCCATTGAATTGGATCGCTTGAAGCGTATGGGCAAGAGCAAGCAACGTCAGTTGGACTACTGCACCATGTGCGATTTGAACTTCCATGGTCATATCTCGGCCCATCGTAAATCCGAGGGACATTTGCAATTGAAGAAATTCTTGCATCCCAAGTGTAATGAATGTAACAAGGAATTCGCCACTCGTATTGATTACGATACCCATTTGTTGGCTGCCGAACATTTGATTAAGGCCGCCGAGAAGAATACCAAGGTTGGAGAACGTAAACGTCAGACCTTGCCTATTCTCACCGAGGAGGATGAATTGAAGGATGTCCGTCCCCCCACCAAGAAGAAGAAGAAGGCTGCTGCCAAGAAGACCACCGAAGCTGGTGAAGGTGCCGAAGTCAAGAAGGAAGGTGAAGAAGAAGCTGAAGGCGAAGAAGCCGAAGGTGAAGATGCTGAAGCCAAGAAAGAAGGTGAAGAGGGTGCCGATGAGACCAAGGAGGGTGAAGAATTGAATGAAACCCAAGAAGGCGAAGAAGAAGTTGCTTTGCCCGTCGATCCTGAAGACTGCATTCTGGATTTCCATGATGGTGATGAGATTCCCACGGAAGTCGACAACCGTTTGCCCAAATACAACTGGACCCGCCCAGTTGGTACCGCTCTCATCACCAAACTCGAATGTTTCGAGTGCTCATTGTGTGGCAAATTCTTCGACAACGAAAAGACTGTCGAAGTGCACTCTCGCACTGTCACCCATCACCGCAACTTCTTGAAATTCATCAACGAGAAGGCCAGCGACACCAAGATCGCTCAAAAGCGCGCTGCCGCCGCCATTGAAGAAAGCGAACGCAAGAAGCGCAAGTTGGAAGAAGCTGAAGCTTCTGCCAACGGTGAAGGTGAAAAGACCGAAGCCGCCGAAGGTGCTGAAGGTGAATTATACGATCCCTCAGAAGCCACCGGTGAAGATGAGGATGTTGAAATGAATGAAAATGGTGAGGGCGCCGAAGAAGGTGGTGAAGGTGCTGAAGCCGAAGAGAATGGCGAAGAAATGGAAACCCAAGAAGAAGCTGAAGAAGAAGCCGAGCCAGAAGCTGAGGCCGAGGCTGAAGCAGAAGCTGAGCCCGAACCCGAGCCAGAGCCAGTCAAAGAAACACCTAAAGCAGAAACACCCGCAAAGACCGCCACCAAGACTGCTGCTGCTCCCTCAACACCCGCTTCCGCTGAAGCCTCACCTGCCAAGAAAGCAGCGACACCTGCTGCCCGTGGTGGTGCCGCCAAGGGAACGCCGCGTAACCGTGGTCGCGGTCGCTACAACCGTTACTAAGCTAGTTTATTTAGCCTTCTCTAAGCAACCTCCTCCCTCCCCTTTTTCTAATCACACTTTCCTTGAATTGTCTTGTGGAAGTAATTGACGCGAATATTTACTATTCAGCAGAAATGATTTCATGACACTTTTCATTACATATATTTTTTTATATAAATTAAAATTTATTATAATTTAACAAAAAAAAAAAAAACCAACAATTTCATTTAATTACTAAAACTTACAAAAAACCAATCACAAACCATAAAACAAAACTTTTTTGCTAATTCCTTATACCTTTAAGTTGTAACTATAGTTGTAACTTAATTCAAACCAATATATTGATTGCATTATAAATGACACAGGAACACGTTTTTAAAATAACAATTACATTAAAGTACACCAACAATTAAATCCGCAAGCTCATTCGGTTTACTGATAAAATACACGGACATCATTTTTTAAAAGTATGAATTACTGAATGAGCTCCATAAAAGAAACCAATAAAAATAAAATATTTTAATTTTAAGCTATTAGTTTAATAAGTATTAATTAAACTTTGATTGATGAACGCTAAACAAAATATTATTCAGAGCCCATTTATTATATACTTATCTAAATAAACTCCTCAAAAAAACATGAAAAAAATTAATTATCTAAAATCTAGAAAATAATTTTATTATAAAAAAACAAAACAAAATTATAAATTAAAAAAAAAACAAAAGAAAAGAAATTTTCTGTAGAAAAAAAAAAAAAAAAACAAGAAATAACATTGGAAATAATGAACAAAAGAAATTTAAAATTTAAATACAAATAAAACATACCAATGTAAGTGTATAAAAAAATAGTAAATAAAATGTGTTTTTATTTTATTAGGAGAACAATTTGAAACTTTAAATCGCTTCAATTGCAAAAATAGTGAAAATCTGTGATCACTCGTATTTTCCTCCAAAAGTTGCTCTTTATATGAGAAAACTAAAATCGGCCGTAGATCCTTAATAAAGCTCCAATTTAAAAATTATTGCAAATCTGTGATCACTCATATTCTCCATAAAAATCGATTTCTATATGAGAAAACCAAAATCGGCCGTAGATCCTTAAATAACGCTCCAATTGCAAATATAGTGAAAATCTGTGATCACTCATATTCTCCATCAGAAGTCGATCTTTATATGGGAAAACTAAAATTGGCCGTAGATCCTTAAATAACGCTCTAATTGCAAAACTAGTGAAAATCTGTGATCACTCATATTTCTTACCAAAAATCGATTTTTATATAAGAAAACTAATAATAAATTGCAAAACTAGTGAAAATCTCGTCACTCATATACTCCATCAAAAGTCAGTCTTTATATGAGAAAACTAAAATAGGACGTAGATCCTTAAATAACACTCTAATTGCAAAACTAGTGATAATCTGTGATCATTCATATTTCTTACCAAAATACGCTTTAATTACAAAATTAGTGAAAATCTGTGATCACTCATATTCTCCATCAAAAGTCAGTCTTTATATGAAAAAACTAAAATCGGCCGTAGATCCTTAAATAACACTCTAATTGCAAAACTAGTGAAAATCTGTTATCATTCATATTTCTTACCAAAAATCGATTTTTATATGAGAAAACTAAAATCGGCCGTAAATCCTTAAATAACGCTCTAATTGCAAAACTAGTGAAAATCTGTGATCACTCATATTTCATACCAAAAATCGATTTTTATATGAGAAAACTAAAATCGGCCGTAGATCCTTAAATAACTCTCCAATTGCAAATCTAGTAAAAATCTGTGATCATTCATATTTCTTGCCAAAAATCGAATTTTATATCAGAAAACTAAAATCGGCCGTAAAACCTTAAATAACGCTCCAATTACAAAACTAGTGAAAATCTGTGATCATTCATATTTCTTACCAAAAATCGATTTTTATATGAGAAAATTAAAATCGGCCGAAAATCCTTAAATAACGCTCTAATTGCAAAACTAGTGAAAATCTTTGATCACTCATATTCTCCATCAAAAGTCAGACTTTATATGAGAAAACTAAAATCGGCCGTAGATCCTTATATAACGCTTCAATTGCAAAACTAGTGAAAATCTGTGATCACTTATATTTCTTACTAAAAATCGATTTTTATATGAGAAAACTAAAATCGGCCGTAGATCCTTAAATAACGCTCCAATTGCAAAACTAGTGAAAATCTGTGATCATTTATATTTCTTACCAAAAATCGTTTTTTATATGAGAAAACTAAAATCGGCCGAAGATCCTTAAATAACGCTCTAATTGCAAAACTAGTGAAAATCTGTGATCACTCATATTTTCCATCAAAAGTCAGTCTTTATATGAGAAAACTAAAATCGGCCGTAGATCCTTAAATAACGCTCCAATTGCAAAACTAGTGAAAATCTGTGATCATTCATATTTCTTACCAAAAATCGATTTTTATATGAGAAAACTAAAATCGGCCGTAGATCCTTAAATAACGCTCCAATTGCAAAACTAGTGAAAATCTGTGATCATTTATATTTCTTACCAAAAATCGATTTTTATATGAGAAAACTAAAATCGGCCGTAGATCCTTAAATAACGCTCCAATTGCAAAACTAGTGAAAATCTGTGATCATTCATATTTCTTACCAAAAATCGATTTTTATATGAGAAAACTAAAATCGGCCGTAGATCCTTAAATAACGCTCCAATTGCAAAACTAGTGAAAATCTGTGATCATTCATATTTCTTACCAAAAATCGATTTTTATATGAGAAAACTAAAATCGGCCGTAGATCCTTAAATAACGCTCCAATTGCAAAACTAGTGAAAATCTGTGATCATTTATATTTCTTACCAAAAATCGATTTTTATATGAGAAAACTAAAAGCGGCCGTAGATCCTTAAATAACGCTCCAATTGCAAAACTGGTGAAAATCTGTGATCACTCATATTTCTTGCCACAAATCGATTTTTATATGAGAAAACTTAAATCTGTGATCACTCATATTCTCCATCAAAAGTCAGTCTTTATATGAGAAAACTTAAATCGGCGGTAGATCCTTAAATAACGCTCCAATTGCAAAACTAGTGAAAATCTGTGATCACTCATATTCTCCATCAAAAGTCAGTCTTTATATGAGAAAACTAAAATCGGCCGTAGATCCATAAATAACGCTCCAATTGCAAAACTAGTGAAAATCTGTGATCACTCATATTTCTTGCCAAAAATCGATTTTTATATGAGAAAACTTAAATCGGCGGTAGATCCTTAAATAACACTCTAATTGTAAAACTAGTGAAAATCTGTGATCACTCATTCTCCATCAAAAGTCAGTCTTTATATGAGAAAACTAAAATCGGCCGTAGATCCTTAAATAACCCTCCAATTGCAAAACTAGTGAAAATCTGTGATATTTCTTACCAAAAATCGATTTTTATATGAGAAAACTAGAATCGGCCGTAGATCCTTAAATAACGCTCCAATTGCAAAACTAGTGAAAATCTGTGATCACTCATATTTTCCAAACTAAAATCAGTCTTTATATGAGAAAACTAAAATCGGCCGTAGATCCTTAAATAACGCTCCAAATGCAAAACTAGTGAAAATCTGTGATCACTCATATTTCTTACCAAAAATCGATTTTTATATGAGAAAACTAAAATCGGCCGTAGATCCTTAAATTACGCTCTAATTGCAAAACTAGTGAAAATCTGTGATCACTCATATTTCTTGCCAAAATCGATTTTTATATGAGAAAACTAAAATCGGCCGTAGATCCTTAAATAACGCTCCAATTGCAAAACTAGTGAAAATCTGTGACCACTCATATTTCTTGCCAAAAATCGATTTTTATATGAGAAAACTAAAATCGGCCGTAGATCCTTAAATAACGCTCTAATTGCAAAACTAGTGAAAATCTGTGATCACTCATATTTTCCAAACTAGAATCGGCCGTAGATCCTTAAATAACGCTCCAATTGCAAAACTAGTGAAAATCTGTGTTCACTCATATTCTCCATCAAAAGTCAGTCTTTATATGCGAAAACTAAAATCGGCCGTAGATCCTTAAATAACGCTTCAATTGCAAAACTAGTGAAAATCAGTGATCACGCATATTTCTTACCAAAAATCGCTTTTTACATGAGAAAACTAAAATCGGCCGTAGATCATTAAATAACGCTCCAAATGCAAAACTAGTGAATATCTGTGATCACTCATATTTTCCAAACTAGAATCGGCCGTAGATCCTTAAATAACGCTCCAATTGCAAAACTAGTGAAAATCTGTGTTCACTCATATTTTCCATCAAAAGTCAGTCTTTATATGAGAAATCTAAAATCGGCCGTAGATCCTTAAATAACGCTCTAATTGCAAAACTAGTGAGAATCTGTGATCACACAAATTTCTTACCAAAAATCGCTTTTTACATGAGAAAACTAAAATCGGCCGTAGATCATTAAATAACGCTCCAAATGCAAAACTAGTGAAAATCTGTGATCTCTCATCTTCTCCATCAAAAGTCAGTCTTTATATGAGAAAACTAAAATCGGCCGTAGATCCTTAAATAACGCTCCAATTGCAAAACTAGTGAAAATCTGTGATCACTCATATTTCTTACCAAAAATCGATTTTTATATGAGAAAACTAAAATCGGCTGTAGATCCTTAAATAACGCTCTAATTGCAAAACTAGTGAAAATCTGTGATCACTCATATTTTCCAAACTAAAATCGGCCGTAGATCCTTAAATAACGCTCTAATTGCAAAACTAGTGAAAATCTTTGATCACTCATATTTCTTGCCAAAATCGATTTTTATATGAGAAAACTAAAATCGGCCGTAGATCCTTAAATAACGCTCCAATTGCAAAACTAGTGAAAATCTGTGATCACTCATTATTTCTTACCAAAAATCGATTTTTATATGAGAAAACTAAAATCGGTCGTAGATCCTTAAATAACGCTTCAATTGCAAAACTAGTGAAAATCAGTGATCACGCATATTTCTTACCAAAAATCGATTTTTACATGAGAAAACTAAAATCGGCCGTAGGTCCTTAAATAACGCTCCTAATGCAAAACAAGTGAAAATCTGTGATCACTCATATTTTCCAAACTAAAATCGGCTGTAGATCCTTAAATAACGCTCTAATTGCAAAACTAGTGAAAATTTGTGATCACTCATATTTTCCAAACTAAAATCGGCCGTAGATCCTTAAATAACGCTCCAATTGCAAAACTAGTGAAAATCTGTGATCACTCATATTTCTTGCCAAAAATCGATTTTTATATAAGAAAACTAGAATCGGCCGTAGATCCTTAAATAACGTTCCAATTGCAAAACTAGTGAAAATCTGTGATGACTCATATTCTCCATCAAAAGTCAGTCTTTATATGAGAAAACTAAAATCGGCCGTAGATCCATAAATAACGCTCCAATTGCAAAACTGGTGAAAATCTGTGATCACACATATTTCTTACCAAAAATCGATTTTTATATGAGAAAACTAAAATCGGCCGTAGATCCTTAAATAACGCTCCAATTGCAAAACTAATGAAAATCTGTGATCACTCGATTAAAAATCGATTTTTATGTGAGAAATCGGCCGTAGATCCTTAAATAACGTTCCAATTGCAAAACTAGTGAAAATCTGTGATCACTCATATTTCTTGCCAAAAATCGATTTTTATATAAGAAAACTAGAATCGGCCGTAGATCCTTAAATAACGCTCCAATTGCAAAACTAGTGAAAATCTGTGATCACTCATATTCTCCATCAAAAGTCAGTCTTTATATGCGAAAACTAAAATCGGCCGTAGATCCTTAAATAACGCTTCAATTGCAAAACTAGAATCTGTGATCACTCATATTCTTCATCAAAAGTCAGTCTTTATATGCGAAAACTAAAATCGGCCGTAGATCCTTAAATAACGCTTCAATTGCAAAACTAGTGAAAATCTGTGATCACTCATATTTCTTACCAAAAATCGATTTTTATATTAGAAAACTAAAATTAGCCGTAGATCCTTAAATAATGCTCCAATTGCAAAAATAGTGAAAATCTGTGACCACTTACATATATTTCTTGCCAAAAATCGATTTTTATATAAGAAAACTAGAATCGGCCGTAGATCCTTAAATAACGCTCCAATTGCAAAACTAGTGAAAATCTGTGATCACTCATATTTTTTGCCAAGAATCGATTTTTTTTGAGAAAACTAAAATCTGCCGTAGATCCTTAAATAACGCTCTAATTGCAAAACTAGTGAAAATCTGTGATCACTCATATTTTCCAAACTAAAATCGGCCGTAGATCCTTAAATAACGCTCCAATTGCAAAACTAGTGAAAATCTGTGATCACTCATATTTTCCATCAAAAGTCAGTCTTTATATGAGAAATCTAAAATCGGCCGTAGATCCTTAAATAACGCTCCAATTGCAAAACTAGTGAAAATCTGTGATCACTCATATTTCTTGCCATAAATCGAATTTTATATCAGAAAACTAAAATCGGCCGTAGATCCTTAAATAACGCTCTAATTGCAAAACTAGTGAAAATCTGTGATCACTCATATTTTCCATCAAAAGTCAGTCTTTATATGAGAAAACTAAAATCGGCCGTAGGTAGATCCTTAAATAACGCTCCAAGTGCAAAACTAATGAAAATCTGTGATGAATCATATTTCTTACCAAAAATCGATTTTTATATGAGTATAATCGGCCGTAGATCCTTAAATAACGCTCCAATTGCAAAACTAGTGAAAATCTGTGATCACTCATATTCTCCATCTAAAGTCAGTCTTTATATGAGAAAACTTAAATCGGCCGTAGATCCTTAAATAACGCTCCAATTGCAAAACTTGTGAAAGCTGTGATCATTCATATTTCTTACCAAAAATCGATTTTTATATAAGAAAACTAAAATCGGCCGTAGATCCTTAAATAACGCTTTAATTGCAAAACTAGTGAAAATCTGTGATCACTCATATTCTCAATCAAAAGTCAGTCTTTATATGAGAAAACTAAAATCGGCCGTAGATCCTTAAATAACGCTCCAATTGCAAAACTAGTGAAAATCTGTGATCACTCATATATTTCTTGCCAAAAATCGATTTTTATATTAGAAAACTAAAATTGGCCGTAGATCCTTAAATAACGCTCCAATTGCAAAACTAGTGAAAATCTGTGATCACTCATATTTCTTGCCAAGAATTGATTTTTATTGAGAAAACTAAAATCGGCCGTAGATCCTTAAATAACGCTCCAATTGCAAAACTAGTGAAAATCTGTGATCACTCATATTTCTTACCAAAAATCGATTTTTTATATGAGAAAACTAAAATCGGCCGTATATCCTTAAATAACGCTCCGATTGCAAAACTAGTGAAAATCTGTGATCACTTATATTCTCCATCAAAAGTCGCTCTTTATATGAGAAATTAAAAATCGGCCGTAGATCCTCCAATTGCAAAAATAGTGAAAATCTGTGATCACTCATTTTCTCCATCAAAAATATATATTTATATGAGAAATCTGAAATCGACCGTAGATCCTTAAATAACGCTCCAAATTGCAAAAATGGTGGAAATCTATGATAACCCATATTTTTAATAAAAAAATCGATCGAATCGAGATGAAGTAGTTCCATTAATAACGTGTTAATTCAGAAGAATTATTTAATCCTGTGATCATTCTTATTTTAAATTAATATTTTAAAATACAGTTTATGATTTATTTCAATTATTTTGTTTATTATTAAAACACGTACTTAAATAATAACATACAACTTAATTTAAACAACATATCGTCTAACGAATCGTTCGTACACTTTATTTCTTTTTGTTTTTGTATTTTGCACTTTCAAACAAGTGATACCAGCCTTTGACATTCATAATTAATTTACTTAAAATCTAATTTAAACAATTATTACATTAATATTAAATTTTGCAATAGACAAAAATATATTCTTATATTTCCTTATAAATCGTGAAATTTAATAATGAAGTGAAAAGCAAATGAAAATAAATATTAATTTATGTACATAGCAAAGTTTCAAATCAAAAATGAAAATATTGAATTTTTATTTTATAATGCACTGCTATATTGTACGATTTATCAATTATGGTTAAATACATTTAATAATTTGTATACTTAATTAGTAATGGAATTATTCACATACAACAAATTATGGGTTCATATGTAGCTTAAAATATAATTAATTAAAACTTAATACTAAAAATTTATTATTTACAACAGTTATAGTAAAAACTAATTTGGATTGGATGTTTGACATAAAACTTGTTGACATTTTTGTTTTTAACATTTTTTACTTAAAGTTAATCATTGGGGTATTAAAGAAAAACAAAATAATTAGGTTAATAACCAACTACAACTATAATCAATCGGATAATAAGTACAAATGTGATGCTGTCTGGTGCACAGTGGGGTGTTTTACAATATTTCTTTAAACATATTTTATTAATTAGTAATCAATATTTGCCCTCAATAAACAAGAAAAGTATGCGGAACGATCAGTTTGGCATTTGCATTTTGCAGCTTTAAAAAGCTACAGATTTGCATAAAAAAATTTCAATGTAAAATGTAATTTAAGAGTTACATAAAGTAGAAACGCAGAACACTCCCGTAGAGTCATGCAATTTCCAATCAATGTTTGTTCTCAATAAATTCAATACAACCACATGGTTAGTTTCCCATCAACGACTGTGGTAAAGGATTGCAAAATATCTGGAAGTAAAATGTTTTGTCTTATTTTCAAAGAAATCAATATTTGCTCTCAATAAATAAGAAAAACATGCGGTACGGTCAACGTAATGAATGTTTGATATTCGCAGCTTTGAAAAGCACAGGTTTACATAAAAAGTGTTACATGACATAAAGTCGGATTGCAAAAAGCTCTCGCAATGTCATGCATTTTCCAATCAATGTTTGTTCTCAATAATTTTAATAAAACCACAAGGTTCGTTTCCCATCAGCGACTGTGGTAAAGGAGCGCAAAGTATGCTCGAATTTGGATTTTTGACCTACTTGAGTCAGCTGAAAGTAAAACCATTTAATTTTGTCTTATTTGTAAAGAAATCAATATTTGCCCTCAATAAACAAGAAACATATGCGGAACGATCAGCATAATGAAAGTTTGGCATTTGCAGCTTTAAAAAGCTGCAGCTTTGCATAACGCTCTCCTAGAATCATGCAATTTCCATTCAATGTTTGTTCTCAATAATTTCAATACAAAGGATCGCCAAATATATGGAAGTAAAATGGTTGGTCTTATATCCAAAGAAATCAATATTTATTCTCAATAAATAAAAAAACACGCGAAACGATCAGCAGTTCGATGAAAGTTTCGGCATTTGTAGTTTTCAATGTAAATTCTAACAATTAAAATTTTGTTCTCAATAATTTCAATAAGACGTACGATTGCATTATATGTATTTATATTTAGAAAACTAATTAGATTTCTATACTTTACACCACTAAAGTGAGGAGGGTTTGTGCTGATGTTTTAAGGAACAGAAATATTGGTGTTATATAAAATATTCCAATCGGTTAGAAATCATTTTCGGAGTTGATAAAGCCACGTCTTTCCATAGAAAAGTTTCGCTTAATGCTTCGTATACAGTTTTCGTTCGGGCCACTAAATTAGTCTTATTTTAATTACTCTTAAGGTTAATTGTTAATAAACCTTGTTCCCTTACTTGTTTTGTGTTAAACTGTGCCAAACTGAATAACTAATAAGTTACCAATATTTGGAATAAGAAAATATTGCCAATTTCAGATTTGTTTTCAATGAGATCAATAACTTTTCTGATAAATTATAATAACATTTAAGTTATTTTTTTATAAACTATAACCCACTGTGCCTTAAAAAAGATAATGTCTTTACGTCACAAAGGAAGCATGTAATTATCCCAGGAAAAAGAAAAAAATATTAAAAGTATCCAGAAGCAACATACGAAAAAGAAGATCAGAAAATTAAAACCAAAAAGCAATGTCAACTTAATTGAGACCACAATCTAAAGTATGTTGTTCGATGGTTGTGCGTAAACGACTTTGATCGCTTTGTGAACGTTTTAAACCGGTACGCCAGCGCTTGAGGCATCCCAAAATGTACGAGTGTTTCGTGCGACTCAAGACATAAACATAAGGGTCCGATGTAAAATGTAAAGCCATCAACATATCGGCTACTAAAAAGAAAGGATGAGCTTTGGGAACACGATTCGGTACTATGGCCATGGGTATGGCAATCTACAAAAATAAGCAAAAAAAGAAAAGGAAATAAATTAAATACGCATTTGAAATAATTTTCTTCAATTAAAAATCAATTTACAGTTATTTCTGTCTGTCTGCTGTCTATACTATACAGCACTTACCATTTGTGGCATCCAGCAGATAACAAATGAAATGCTCAAGAACAACATTAATTTGGCGAATTTAATTTCATCGGGCGATGCGGCTGCTGTCAAATTCACGCTGTTAGTGTGATGATATTGTGGTATGTGTGTCGTACTGCTTTGATGATGCTGATACAGTGTCGTGCCGCTAGAGCTCTCACCATCAATTTGTGCGGTCGAACCCTTTTCACAACGATTTACCATGTCGTAAGTCATGTGACGTTGAGTGGTACGTGTACGTCCAATGAAGCATAGAACGCGTGTAACAAATAAGTTGCAGGCGACTATAACCACACACAATAGAGTGCCTGGAAAGTAGGAAAAAAATAGAAGAAACAATACATAGTATAATGCTGACAAATGACATTCAATGAAGTAGCAAGAAATAGAAAAAATCAATGATCAAATTTACTTTACTTTACTTAAATTACATTACATTAAATTATGTTTAAGAAAACATTAAGGACATTGGAGCTGAACAACTTGAAAGGAATTTCAAATCAATTTGTATCCAAGGATGTCTTTTTTTACAACATTTGGGGGTGAGTTTTTTTATTTTTTGTATTTTATTTAGAAGATTTAAAGAGCTTAGAAAAAATCTTTGTGTAAAAAAATGTATGGAAATTATTCATGTAGAACAATTTTCCTCTAAATAAATTTTAAAGTACTTTCACAGATTTTGTCGGAGTTTAAGTTATGTTAGGTTAGAATGGGTAACTTTTAATTGATTATATTAAGTGGGGGGTCTATTAAGTCCATTGAAAAGTTCAATAATTAATTAAATTAATTCCATGGAGTGCTGTGGAACCACTTGTCTGCTTCTGAGAAACCCATTTGCAAAATATCATAAAATTAAAAGATGATGCATTTATAGAGCTTATTCACAGTCTCTACACTTTTTTGTAGTATTTACATGCCTTCAACATATAGTTATTATGCCCTCATAAGTCCTAGATTCTTTCTCTTTTGTCGACTCTTATTCGTCAATCACGTTCGAAGTTGCGAGCTGCATAATAATAATATCAAATTGCTCTTCAGTTGATTTGGGTCCAGTTAAAGACCCAAATTGCACAACAGCTTGAGTTCTCTTTTATTTCCTCTTATTTGCCAATCAAGTTCTAAATTGCAAGCAGAATAATTGCATTACCTTTTCGGTCAAATGCATCGTATAAGTTCCAATTCAACCCGTGAATCGCGGAAAGATTTTGATGTTAATAAATGGATTAATCATTGGCTCTTCATTGAAATGAAACAAAGTGTGTTTTATTATTTATTTCGCAGTTTGCCCGCATTATTCTTTTCCTGTGGGATTTTTCATAGGTCACATATCACGAGGTCAAGATCATTATTGAAAATCGGCTTTTCAGCTGGAGAACAGATGGCAATATTTGATTCTGCCGGATCACGCGCAAAAATACTGCGATCAAGTACATGACCTATTAAAGTTGATGCGTTGTGGAGTCGCAGGCATCATGAGCAAAACATAATAAATATCCCGACTAGGAGGAGTGATTGTTTCCCAGTTATATTCATAGAGAAGAATTTCATTCCCATGCATGCATTTCACTATGCATCTGCCTAACCGCTGAGCTGAACTTACAAGATCAATGATGTCATGAGCGATACCGAAGCATTCGTATCCTCCTGAGTGTCACTTAAGAGCATTCTTCAAATTTAAAGATCGTGCAATCACGCTAATATAAATGAGGATCATACTTCAAGGTCACGAGGCGAAGTGATCACCACCGATAAGTATTATCATATAGTTAACCGAGCTTAATAATTGTCCATCAGGAAGAGATAACCTCACTCACATTTATGGAAATAACGAGGCATACACGATCAGTTCTAATGGGTGCTTTGCAACGCTAATTGGTAGTGTTCTTATCAGTCAAGGGGTTGTGGGTTCAATGCCCACCAACTTTACTACAACGGACATAGGTCAGTACTAAAGAAGGAGGTTGGGATAACAAACTGCATTTCTCAACATTAGTCGCGCAGCCAAATCATTCATTGGCATTTGTTGATACGGCAACAGCATCGAAGGATTTATCGATGCTGTTGCCGTATCAACAATTGGATCTTCGTTCTAGAACATTGTAAACTAAAGAACATATGTATCAACCGAAAGTTTTTGTTCCCAGAAATGAACTATCGGCCACAGTCGAACTGTTGTAACAAAACAACGTATACCCAGAAGAGACTACACCAATATCTAGTACAGGATAAGTCCTGCAGGCCGCTTCTTCTTCCCTAATTTTCTATAACAATTATCCACGAAATGAAATATAACTACCAATTGTTAACCTGACAATTCCCCGACTTTGGAAAAGGCAATCATATGCTAAAGAAGGAGGATGGGATAGCCAATTGCATTTCTTAACATTATCGAAAGATTTATCTCGATGTTCATAACAGTATATCAGGGTTTTAACGGACTCTCCCCCCGTAATTGGCTTCAACCAATAGCCACCAAGTGTACCATATTCCCTCTAGAATTAGATCTTCGTTCTAAAGCGACGTCAGTCATACTCGCCCAAAGATTGTTAACTCAAGGACTCATGTTTCCGAAAGTTTGTTACAGTCGAACAACAACACATATCCTGAGGGTTCCCTACCAATATCCAGTACAGGACAAGTCTTGCGTGCTAGCCAAGCCCTGAGGCAATTGACTCTTCAATTTTGATATCTTCGCTGACCCGACGTATTGGTAATACCTCTCTTCATATGGATTCTAACATGCTCCGGGGCGATTTATAGGATGGAAGGTAGGACATTTCTGATGCCGATTTACCAGAGATTAAATTAATAAAGATATCAGGTACATCTGGTCTGCAGACTAATTTTACACCTCAGATTAAATTCATTAAGAAATCACTCAAAAAAGAACTCATAGACTTAGGTGATTGCTAATTTTGAAGGCTATTGGGAAATATAAACACGAGCTGAAATTTTGATAAAATGTACTTCCGATACTATGAACAATAACTGGTTCTATAAAGCAAATGACAAAAAACTTTGAAAAAACCTGTCATGCAAAAATGAGCTGGCCTATTGTTTAGATAAGAAACCATAAAAATCATATTTCAATGTTATCTCATATTGCGTAAAAAAGGGTATTAGAAACATATACATTCCTAAATTCCATGAATGTTATAAATGTTTAATCTAAACATATGTTCACAATAAGATTTATTAAACTGTACATGAATATATTTTGAAGTTAAAAGTCCTTAAACAAATATACATTATTTACTCTGCTGGGAACATTGAACTTTTGAAATGACATGTATGGAATCATATTATTATATAGGCATACAACCAACACCCACCCACACATGTCAATAAAAATCTCTGTTTGTACAATATGTTACAATAGTTTTGGTCTGTAATTTTCCACTTATTATTGTTAGTTTTGTTTGAAAAGTTTTATTATAATTAAACTTACCAAATAACATAAACAATACTGAATAGGTTTTATTTAAGAAACCCTCAGCATCACGATAACGTAAACATTTCACTTTATTTGGATCACTATCATCCATATAGGCACCGAAACCAAAGAATGGCAAAAACGTTATGACCACTGCTATTAATATTAAGGATTTAATAGTTTTACGCACCAATTCATATGTAATGTGCTAAATGACAGAATAAAGTGAAAAGAAAAAGAATAGAAAAATATTACAATATGTTTCAAAGAAAAAACACCAAAAAAAAAACTTCTATTGTGTATAAGAACATTATTACTTTGAAATGCTTTGTGCTTATTTTTCCCCTCAAATTACTTACTTTGTGATATATAAATGGTCTTGCCAAAGCCATCCAACGTTCTATGGCCATAACGGCTGCTATGCAACCGGAACTTAAGCCGAAAAATCTCCAAATGACTTTTCCCACACAATCCCATTTGGTGTATTGTTCAAAGATTTCACGTGGTACATAGAATTTCAACAGCAGAGTGGTTAACATGCCCAATAAACCTATAAAATTGTTAGTGGATAAACAACTGAAAAATGTAAGAAAGAGAAAAGTATGCATAAGATTGATTTGTCATTAGGGCTTTTGCGATAATAAATATGTATGAATAAAAAGTATAGTTAATAGATTTTATTTAGCTGGAAAATCAACGTCAAAATTCATAAATACATAGTAAAAATCATTTTATTTCTTTAAGGTATTTCTAAAGAAATAAAAACTTTCTGCTTAATGAGCTCAATCAGTTTATTGCGTTCTGATACTTTACTGGTTTTGTAACCAATATAACCTGTCACTAAAAAATTATTATAAATTACTAGAATGTGTATTTTATTTCCCAGCAGTTCGATAAAGAGTCAATGTATCCGAATATGGCACTGTAAACACTTAAAAAAAAACTTAAGCAAAAACGTTCATTGCCAAGTCTACTTTGCAGAAGCTTTCCTCCTTGTAATTTATGCAGTGACGACTGACTTCCCTTTAGGACAAGCACATGTTAAAATAAGTAGCTGGTCACCTGGGTAGTCGGTGGATAGGGGTAACTCCAAGTGGTGTGTTAAATAGCTAGTTCAAGATGTCCACCCGAACATCCTGACATCTAAAGCAATATTTCTTGATGTAACTTTGGACTCTAAGTTTTCGTGGAAATGTAATGTTGAGAGTCGAGAAAACTTTTGGTAAGAAATGAGCACTTAAACCCTATTTTGACCTATATTACACTAGTCTGGTGAAAGGGCGTCTGTCCATTTTCAATAAAGTACAAAGGTTGGCTTGTCTTGATATTACAAGTCATTTAGTTAAACGCCTTAGGCCGATCTGGGAGGTATTACCCCTGACACCTGACGTATTTGTGCTAAATCATATCATAGGCTCGATCTAGAGTCAAGAGTAATCAAATATTAATCATAACTTCGAGACACTGCGTTCGATGTTTTGATCATGCTGGAATTTACCCTATCGATGTGGGCACGAGAAACATCCAAAAACTAAATCTTGTGACGTCGATCATAAACATCTACATAGACCGTCTTGCATCTTTAATGACTCTCACTTTGAACATGATATGGATGCATTATCAACTGAATTCAATCCCTATCGCTACTTAAATGACACTTGTCGAATTGATTTGGATTTCAGGACATTATTAGAGGTAATGAAATTGCCAACAAATGGGCCATTAAGGATATTCATACTCTTCTGGCTGTGGTATCGACCATGAAAAGCTCTGGACGGATGTCGAAACTTTAATAATACTTTCCAAATCAAGTTACCAACTAGAGAAGACTTTGGGACGACGGATCACAGTCTACATTGACAATATTGTATCTCTAAAGGGTCTCTCCACGAAAGTGATAAGGTCGAAATGTATGGAAATCTCCAACGAATGAGCTATGAACTTCTCTGACTTCTTTTCTCTTTTGGTCTTTGAAAGAAATTAATGATTCTTAAGGGCATACCCAATGAGCACTGTATGATTGGACTAATGTCAGATCGTATGGTCTTTCCAGGTAACAGTTTTTGCAGAAGTTTTGACACGAATGTCGAAGTGCTTTACGTGAGTACCTGGTGTGTAGCCCTATCTCACGGTGGTCTTTTTCATCCACTGGGTGAGCTAAAATATAACGACTCACCACCACCCCTTTGTGTATCTTAGACGCAGGTGGCAATTTCCTCCCGTTGATGAAGAACAGGTGTCATGAGCAAGCTCAATCTAACCCCGACAAAGGAAAAACCTTATATGTCGCTCAACCACAATACTGAGATGGATCTGTTGATTCGGCAACAGCACCGGGACGTAATTGGTAGTCCGAAACACGGATCATTTTAATTGGCAAGCTTTATTTCAGTGGCCACAAAGACCCACTGTGATAAGTTGAGCATGTTTTAGAGTAAACTCTAACACACTCAACCATGAAGGAAAATCGACGATAAATTAAAGAAATGGCAATGACGACCTTGCTCCACAATTCCGTCCAGCCAAAGCATTATTCAGCACATCATAAACCACCAAATCACTCCATCCGCTCTATAGAATCGGAGTACATACACATCAGAAAGCACCGGAAAAACTCCACTTCGTATACCCAATCTTTGCATTATCAGCTGAAATCCAACATTTTATTAATCCACAGTCATGCTCTGTAGCATCTAGGAACGATAACAGAAATTCATTATGAAAATTATATTTCACCGTGTATCAGTCTTTTAAACAAGCACCCTCTTCCTGCGATTTAGGTTTCAACCACAGCCACTACGTGGATCCCGAAGGAACCTCAACCTAATGTCCAGAAGTTTTGACAGTAACATTTGCTGTTCTGGGGCTCTTAAAATGTACGTTTCACTTATCAAGAGTCAAAATCCAATCAAAGTCTACGACATGGATAGCTAGATTTTACTATTAAGTGAAAAGCTATACAAAATTATCAGTGATTCCAACACAGCGGTGTTACTATTGATATTTTTAAGTTGGATTTCTGAAGTACACAAATCTTTCAAAAGGATCTATTTTGCATTAAGAAATTAAAATGACAATCGACAAAAACTTTGTAATTATTGACGTCGCGAAAAAATCTACATACTGATGGTTTTAAACCCATTTATTCTTAAAAGACAATTTCTATTCATATTACATTTATTTTTGTCTTTCTATTTATATATTCAGTCTGCACAAAAGTACCCACTCCTTTCAGTAAAATTTGGTTTATTTGGTCTTTGAAAATATAATTTCCCTTTCTACTCCAATCTGTCACAAACATAATGATAAAATAAAATGTATTGACTTTATTTCCCCACATTTAAGGCAATGGACACCCAGCAGTTCGACAAAGAGTCAATGTATCCGAAAAAGACAGTGATTACCATTAACGTCTAACCACCTGGTTGGCTCTAGTTCTTCTATCGTCACGGTTGTACTCTTTGTAATCGATGGTGAAGATAATCGTCACTTTAGTGTCTCCTTTATAAGCAAGAGAGCGGTCACTTAAAAAACAAACTTAAGCTTTTCTCTATCTGTCTGTCTAAATCTTCGAAATCTATGAATAAACGATCTGGCCAGTCGTTGGCTAGGGGTAACCCTAAGTGGTAGGTAAAATAGGTAGTTTGGAACTGTCCGACCGAACTGCTGGGCTTAAGCTCCCTACAAACACTATGACAAACGTTGATTCTATATTTACAGATTTTTAATGTTAAATAAAGCTTTTTGTAGAGAATATTTGTGGAAAATAATGTCCCCATATCTCTTCTGGTTTAGACCCTTCCAGTTCCAGAAATCGAGAGATATATGTACAATGTACATCGTGCATAGCTAAAAGGACTTTGAACCTTAGAGGCGGGGCAATGGCAGAGAATTTTTTTTCATTCTCCTCTTCCTGACAGCTCCTGGTTAAGTCTTCTAGTACAAAAGGCCACTATAGTCAAGTTCCGTAGATTTGCTTTCGGAATCTTTGTGGATTATACGACCGCCACATAAGTATTTTAATTGAATTAGGTAAAAAAAGGCTTAAATCAATATATTATAATACTTAGCTATAATTTTGTTAAATATTTTCCTAATGTGTCCAAAGCTGTAATAAGTAAATTATATTCTAGATTATATTACCAATTAAATTGATTTGTTAACACCAACAGAAATAACACACCATATAGCCCAAATGACACATCGACCTACTCAAGTGTCACTTTTGGTTTGATTTAAGTATGTATGAATTCTTGTCAATAATATTTTACTTATCTTTTACTTATTTCTGCAACTGAGGGATTTATTTGTAATAAATAATAATAGTAATAAGTTTTAATCTAAATTGCTTTACAAGTAAAGTAGTTTTCTATAGGTTTCATTTCTCCAGAAATGTTCAATTGTTTTGGGGTATTGAAGTAAACAAGGCAAAAATCTAGATATTGTGGTAAATATGTATGTATATGTTTTCTGCGAATTCGATTGAATTAAACAAACAAATAAATTAGATAAAGCTAAATAACTAAGGGGATGATTGGCCATTTCAAATGGTCTAAAAAAGCTATTTATTTAAACAACAGCTAAGGATTCCTGAGAAAAAGATTTGCAGATATGAATATAATGAAGAAAAAACTTATTTGAATTTGTAATTCTCTAAGTCAATGAACTCATATTTGATCTGGTAAAGTAACCAGGTCTCCTTTCAAAAAAAATTTTGAACTGAAACAAAAAAATATCAAAATGAAAAATAAATTTATGCACATTTGTGTTAAAATATTTAATAAATATTATTCATAAACAGTTAAAACATTGGTGGTTTCCGTTATATCCGCCGTCGAGATTTGGTGAGATCGTATAACAATTTTACCGAACTATCACATTGGTTTCAAGGTACCATTTGACGGATCTCGATAACTTCCCATAGGGACGCTGCCATATTTTACAAATTTAACACCTGAAAACACCTGATATATCTCAAACTAGAACTGAACAAAAACTGAACTACAACTGAACTAGAACTGAACTAGAACTGAACTAGAACTGAACTAGAACTGAACTAGAACTGAACTAGAACTGAACTAGAACTGAACTAGAACTGAACTAGAACTGAACTAGAACTGAACTAGAACTGAACTAGAACTGAACTAGAACTGAACTAGAACTGAACTAGAACTGAACTAGAACTGAACTAGAACTGAACTAGAACTGAACTAGAACTAAACTAGAACTGAACTAGAACTGAACTAGAACTGAACTAGAACTGAACTAGAACTGAACTAGAACTGAACTAGAACTGAACTAGAACTGAATCTAGAACTGAACTAGAACTGAACTAGAACTGAACTAGAACTGAACTAGAACTGAACTAGAACTGAACTAGAACTGAACTAGAACTGAACTAGAACTGAACTAGAACTGAACTAGAACTGAACTAGAACTGAACTAGAACTGAACTAGAACTGAACTAGAACTGAACTAGAACTGAACTAGAACTGAACTAGAACTGAACTAGAACTGAACTAGAACTGAACTAGAACTGAACTAGAACTGAACTAGAACTGAACTAGAACTGAACT